AGCAAGAGAAAATGTAAAGATGTCTGCCTCATTGTAGGCTTTTGATTTGATCAGTTCAGTGTTTTCTCCTCAGGGAAATTTGATTGTGTAAAAAACAACTTAATGCATCTTAGAACCAATAATATTCAAATCTGATCAGATTGTCAAACATGAATGACAAAAGGCAGAATGTTCATTTCACCACTCAGATACTTCATTAAAGTGCAGATGTTGTTATTTTGTGCCTGAAACTAGAGACTGATTATGACCATAAACTAAAACCACAGTCCTATGATTAAAGGTGTAAGCTTTTCTGAAGCTTTTTACACAGTGTAAGCACACGCAGCCCCCCATCCCCCACCCCGTTTCAATGCTTTATGAAGCTTAAAAGAAATGCATGAATGAATGTCATCTGCAATGGGAGGAGCATAAATAAATGTGCTCAGAATATGTTGAGCAGGAAGCATGTAAACCATAATAAAGGGCCCCAAGATAGACCCATGAGAAACACCAAAATGTAGATGACTTCAAAAATATCTACAATTTATAACTGCAACACAAAATGAATGATCAGAGACAGGAAAAAAAGCAGATTTTAATACATTAGCTCAATAACAACCTGCTAAGCATAATCTAGTTAACAGAAAGTCACATTGCAATATTCAAGAATTGTGCATTTGCTACTTTCAGTGAAACAAAATCAGCACTACCAAATATGTACTTTGGGAAATCCGTTTTTAAAAAAACAATCAGGTATTTTCCTTTTTTCAATCAATCCTTTTTTTTAATTTTAACACAACCAAAATTAAAACTTTAATATCAAAGACAAAGTTAGCATTTAAATTCATTGTGATTAAAAGACCTTGAGTGTTTTTATATTATAGTTGGACACAGGATCTATGAATATCATTTAAAAACAACTTTTACCACAATGCATTAGTCAAGGTTTTGTAGTCTAGGAAGAGGGCAAATGTTGAACAGAGAGACACGATCAGACTGACAGCAGCAATGCTGTATTTAGCTGCTGTGTTGAATCTCACTTGGCAGCTGCTTCAGTCCTCCATCTGTGTGTGTGTCTGTGGCTGAGGGACAAACATTTACCTTAACTGTCTGTCTGAAATGATAACGCAATGCTTTGACTGGGACACTTCATCTGGAACATAAGAGGAATTTTCATCAAGTATTTGTTTTATTAATCGGATCAAATTACGTGGATGAGTCAGGGAGTGTCTGGATGACATTCCTGCTACTGACACATCCTCTTCTGTCATCTGTCTCAGTAAAGCACATAGATTTATTAATTACTGACAATTTCTGTTTTTATTTATCCAGTATTCATATTGATCAGTCTTATATTTGAGGGATGCCTGTCTAATGTTCACCCGCCATTAATAAGGAAAAAGGGAGAGAAAAGAAAGAAAACTGCAAAATGATCTGTGTCATCCTAAATCCAAAACATATTTATTATTTTAGATTATCTAAATATTATATAGAATGTATGCAGAATACATTTGTGTGGACTGTGTTTAATCATTTCATTGTCTCATGAAATGCTTACTTTAATGTCTCCTATGAATCTATTAAAAGATGCATTGTATTCTCTCTAATTTATTTTTTACAGTTCAGCATCACAGATTAATTTAGAAAAACCTTTCAGATGGAGTTCATCAGATATTGATCATAAAGTTATTAGGGTGCCAGGTGGGTTTCCTCTGTTATTTTTATATTTAGTGTCATCTGCTTTGTAAAAAGAAGCCGATTCAATTAAATTCAAAAATACTTTATGAATCCCAGAGGGAAATGAAATGTTAGAACTCATGTTATCCAGCTTTCTTCAAAACGTTGTTGTGGACGCTGGTGACTTTGGGCTGGATGATCTCAGGAAAAAGAGCAAAATCTCCACCACCTGGTTTTCAGAGATCCACCAGTTTCTGCTAAATAATGACAAACCACCCGATTAAAGTAGCAGACAGATTTCAGCTTCTCTGCTGCAATTAATAATTGACAATTTATATTATTACTTAATTATTAATTAATAAATTATTAATTCTTTACAAACTAGCAAAATGAAAACAAAAACTAGAATAGAGTGTCTTTCTGGAATGAGTTAAGCTAATTGTCAATTAATGAGGAACACTGATTATTGACAGCATTGTTCACAATCAACACTCTATGGGTAGTCACAGGACTCTGGGTTCATCACAGGACAACAAACCTGCAAGCAAATAGCCACACCAAGTAACAAATCAAAGTGGGTACTTGAGCTAAAACGCAGAGTCCTGGATGAGGCTTGAGACCTTAGGAGAAACCACACATGGATGCAGAGATGGGCCCTGCTGGGATCTTCTTGTTACTGGATAACTGGTCAAATATCAGAACAATACTTCATTCCTGTCTAAGTTTAGCAAATGAAATGTTGAGCTTTGGAACGAGAATTGGCATAGTTTGAACTTTTATTGTCCTGATCACAATTATTTTATTCCATTATACATGACAGAATGGATGTTGGCTGGTTTGAAATGTGAGGAAATGATTTCAATATTTCACTCCTAAAATATTACTAGAAAAATTTGATGCAACAAATTTGTACTTTGAAAAGTAAGGACTTATAATGAGTGGGAGTTTAAGATAAGTTTGTTTGAGAGGAGTGTTCAAACATAACTGTAGCTTTTAAATGCACAAGCTATCTGGAATAAACACAACAGCTTCTGAACACAATTATTTAACTGCAAATTAGAAGAAAATAGTATGCTTGTATTGTTTCCTATTTTTGAATATAAAACTTTCATTTAGAATTTAAATTAAGATTCAATAAATGTGAGATATTTATTTTGTAATTGGCATTTAAAACATTATTGCATCCTTATTTTCCTTATTCACATGACTTGAATTAAATTAGAAAATGTTTAAGTTCTTTAAAAAACAGATTGGAATTTACAGGTCAAGAAAATTTATGTTTTGAATTTTCTCAATAAAGCACATGTGAAATCCTGTAGGATGAAGCATTTTGTTCAAGGGAGTTGGTGCCTTTTCACAGCTCCATTTAACCACAGACAAGTTCTTCCTCCAACAGGAGAGTGATTGGCAGTGACAACACTCCCTCCTGGCTCTGATTGATTGTTTCTAACCAATTTATGTAGTTCTGTAAATGAGAGCACAGAGAGGAGACAGAACTGAATTTTTTCACAGATTATGTGTCATGTTGTCACCACAGGGTGACAGTTTTAACAAATATGTAAAAAACATTTTTACAAAAGTTACACACTGCAGCTTTACATTATTTAACACATTAAATAAATGACTCATTTTATGACTGTCATGATGTGTGTTTGTAGCAGTGTTTAATGTAGCAAAAAGACTAGGTAGCATCTGATATCAGAAGACTAAATTCATCTACTGGAGCTGTTGTCAGTAATCAATAAAACAACACAAAAGAATAACTGCTTTCAATACTATGTATTTTAAAGAGGAAAATAAGTAAATATTACAAGACAAAACATACAAAAAACAAAAATACAACATATACACAGTACTGCAGTAGATCTTCTATATAATTGTGCACAAAGAGTCCTTCACTTTTCCCCGCCTGGTCAGCACAATGTCTGACCGACACACATTTAAAAGTCCATGATGTGTTTGTCCAGATATTTAAGAGGAAAATGTCCAAGCGCAATTCGTGTCCGATGAAAAGATGAATAATGAGTTGTGTGTCCATGTAGTGAGACGGAGGGGGAAATATTGTGGACCATCAGCCTCCTACCAGACCAGTATGGAGTCAATTTCAGGTTTTCCTGGCTCCAGCCAGTTATCAGAAGCTCGCCATCTTTAACCCAAAAAGGGTCACCTGGCCTGTATTGAAATAAACGGGTTACCATCCTGCTAGTTAACTAGACTGTTTTTTCAGTTATATCCAGAAATCATATCCACAATCAAATCTTTAAAACAAAAATAAAGATATCAGCATTCATTTCATTATCTTAAATACATGTATTGAATTTAAAAAGTCAGATGGTATGTTTGATGAACAATTAGCATTGGATACCACCACCAACATGTCAAACAACAAAACATTGTGTTCACTACTCACCAATTCCATTTATAGATCACTGTATGAGAACTTCCTGGCTCCAAGCTCACTGGATACCCAGATCTACATGATTTTTATATTATGAGGTTTTAAAAGTACATAACAAACAAAGAGATTAATTGTTTGGAAGCACAAACCAGCAGCTCCTTTGTCTCCAGCTCTCCCCCTCACACCTGATTGGGAAAAGCTGGAGCAGGCCTAAAAAACCACTCCAGGTGCAATGATTGGCTGACTACTCTGTGTGATTGACTATCACTCTAACCAATGGAGCGGCAAAGGCGGGATTAAGAGCAATTTACCCTGGGTTACATGTTGGTTTTGGAACCAAGTGCAGTAGGCTGAGACTTTTGACTATTTAATTTGGCTATTAAATAAAGAATGAAAATACAAAAACTTAGAACAAAAAAAGACCATGAAGGATGCATGGAGCCAGAGCAGAACAAAAATAACAGGAACAACAGGGTGGTAATGAAATTGGACATGATTTAACATAGACTGAAGGAAGAACTGAGAATGAGTTTTTTATATAGTGGGGAGGCTGATTACTGAAGAAGGAACAGATGGCTGATTAGAAACAGGTTCCAGGTGTGAAGGGAGAGAGCAGAAGGCAGACTGAGGAGAGGACAGAGAGAGAGAGAGAGAGAGAGAGAGAAAGTACCATGGGAACAAGAAATAAATATAACTGTAAAGAATGCGTAGACATTAAACTACAATAACAAAATATAACTACACACAAGAAATAAACATGAGAAGGACAGAACTAAAGTAAGAGCACAGAAAGAAAGAGACCAAGGAACAAATAATAATAATAAAAAAAACCTTCAAAACAACCCAGAATTCTAACACAGTCTTAATTTCTCATGAATGTAGATACAGTGTAAAGTTGACATCATTGTGTTCTAATGCTTTTCCCTTGTCTCTGTCTTTCATTCAGCCTGCAGCATGATGAGCACTATGGACCCTCTCTGCTTCATCACTCTTCTTTTCTTGCATAAACTCATATTTATACTGTTGGCCCATTGAAGAAACTCTGCAGAATTGCAGTTGGCCTTGCAGGTGTTCACTTTCAAAACTAAACTGAAACCAATCAGAGACCAGCAGGAAGAGGCGGGTCCAGCTGTGGGAGACAGATCTGCCATGGATGTGGAGCAGCAGGACCGGTGACTGTTAAGAATGAGGACAAGAGAAACTGGCTTGGACAATACAGAGAGCATCAGTCTAGTTCCCCAAGGAGCCAGAGCAGCAGAGTGGATGTGTTCTGCTTCACACTTTCTCATGTTCTTGTCAGCCTCTCCATTGTGTGACCATCAGAGGACTGAAAGCCAGCTCTTCATCTGTAAGCGGACGCTCACATTCATTGTTTCAGGGACAAAACACTTCCAACATTCATATTTTCTCTAAAGACTGAAGTTTAATTAGCATGGCATATTATTTCTGATGTCCATTTCTCCACAGCTTCATCACAATGTTTGAGTTTAATGTCCACCTATTTCTCCACAAATACATTTGAACTAGTCTTCCCATTACTCTGTTCCATAATGAAAACTAATTTGTGATAATATATAGTACTTTCAGCAAGATGCACCTTAGTATTGTCATTATCAAATACTTCCTACAATGTCTTTTTTTATTGAATTTATGGTGATCAGTGACACAGTTCACCTCTTTCACACATAGATTTATTGATAACTTGCACCAGCTATTTAGATGAACATTAATGTAATAAAAGATTACAAACATGTTAAGTTAATGTCTTTCCTTGTATCACAAGATGAGCTATCACCCATCCTTTCTTAGGTGTTGCCTTTATCTCAGTACTTCTCTCATTTTATATGAGAGAAACTTTGTGATTATGCCCCAGTTTTCAGTGAACATCTGGCATTGTTATGACACTCAGGAGCTGGCAGGGGTGGAAATGTTAGTAGAACAGAGAGGCTACAACACCAGAATTGGAATCAAAAGCATCAAACAGCCCATCAGAAAAATGAATTGACTTCAGCAGACACATCAGATGTCTCATAGATACATTAAACAGCTTCAGTAGTGCTTGAACAGGTTGCCCTTGTCATGATGTCATTCAGTTATTTTGTCCAGTTTCTCAGCATGAGTAGACCACGGTTTGTCCAAAGATTGTTTGATTGTGTGCCAAACATTGTGGAACCCCAGGACATGCCCGTCATTGAGGCACAGATACTGAACTCTTAGCAAAGCATTGTGTCTTCTTGCACAAAGTCTTCATCAACTTTGGTTTAGTGAGTATGATTCACAGAACATCAGAGATGGCAGCATCTGGAGTAATGTCATAATCCAGAGGGATAGACTGATGAGTGGTGCATCACTTATAGCATTTCATCATACATTACCATAGATCATGGGATGTGTGCATGTCATAGTCCCAATTGGAGGTGATTGCACACCTTCCTTTTCCTAAGACAAATTCTTGTTGCAATTTATTAGCAAGAAACTGATTTTCCAGAAACAGCCAAATTATCTCTGGACTTTCTGCATGATGTGGTGCTCCTCCGGTGGCCTGACTCGTTCCTCAAATGTTTCCCAACAAAACTAGTGTAGATCTGCTGTATCTCAATGATGGGTTATATGCACAGAGTCACAGCTGAAGGTCCAAGACCCTAACGCACGGAGGGTCAATGTTTCACATGCAGTGTGGAGTAGATTGAGAATTCAAATACCAAGAGTGCCAACCCAAAGTCTGGGTGAAGAGAATCTCTGTTTCAACCTCAAAACAACCCAAGAAAAAGGAAGAATGGTGGACTATAGAGCAACAAGAGAATTGCTGATGTCAACTTCCATCGACTATACCACTGATCTGGACAGATTTAAAGGAAACTGCAATGAAGTTGGGCTTCAGGAAGGAGATCTTTAAACTGCAGAATCAGCGATAAGTAGAGTACAATTCAATTCAATTCATTGATGTGGAACCGATTCACAACAAATGTCTCAATAGAACATCATTTCAATTCAGTCACACATACATTGCAGTTGATCAAAGTAATTAAACAAGACCATTACTATGCAAAATGCTGGTAAAAGAATGAAGTGGTGTGTAAATTTGACAAGCCACCATGGCAGATTGGCAAATTGAACAGAAAAAAAGCCAGTTCAGTTTGAAGTCCCATCCAGGGTAGGAGTGGCCAAGTGGCAAATAAACTGATGCACATAAATGCAGCAGCCCCAAACTGCCATAATTCAACCAAAAAAGAGTTAATTGTCCATGACAACACATTGGTCAACTTTAGTGACAGACATTGGGCTTCTCCAATGAAATGACTCCTTAGCCCACCCCTAGCCCTAACCTTAACCATCCTCTTTCCTCCACCCTAGTGGAGAATAATCAGCTAATGTATTTTGTCTTATCACCAAAGCTGACAATATGTTTTCAAAGTAACTTTAATAAATGTTTGTGCTCCTGCTGGACGTTACAAATGTCAAATGGTTTTAAATTTCCAAAATTTTGTGTGGGGAAAAAAGTCAGTTCATAATATTGCATGTTCTGCTTTTGCTAAAACGGTGACATTAAACATCCTTGTTCGGAGATTAGGAGACTTAATAAGATAGATAGGGTTGTCAGGAGGCGACCCAATTTGCATGTTCTGAGATGCAGCTTTTCAGATTACCACAGGACCAGAGAGCAAATATCATGTCAGACTGAGGCAGAAGCTGGAGACTCACCGCTGAACTAATCTCATCTCATGGAAGCTGAGCCAAGCAGTTAGAATATGACTAACCTGCATCTTACATAACCCAGAATGATATGTCATCAAGCATATCCAAAGACCAGTCCCTGAAGAAGCTTCCAGTGTGTTATGTGCAGCCGGCCTCTAAAAGCTGTCTAACCTGCCAAGGGTTCACTGTAGACTTTATTATTATTATATTATAGCATATATATATATATATATATATATATATATATATATATATATATATATATACGTGTGTGTGTCTGTGTGTGTGTGTGTGTGTGTGTGTGTGTGTGTGTGTGTGTGTGTGTGTGTGTGTGTGTGTGTGTGTGTGGGGGTGTGTGTGGGTGTATGTGTGTGTGTGTGTGTCAGTGTGTGTGTGTGTGTGTGTGTGTGGGGGGGTGCGTGTGTGTGTGTGCGTGTGTGGGTGTGTGTGTGTGCGTGTGCGTGTGTGTGGGTGTGTGTGTGTGTTTCTGTGTGTGTGCGTGTGCGTGTGTGTTATAACAGTGCCTCAATAGCTCAGTAGCTCAATCAATAGAACACAGCACATCAATGGATCTTGAAATGGTTAAGATCCATTGTTGTCCATTTGCTTTCGTCATGAGCTCCATGTCTTTAAGCTTTGAAAGGTTTCCTGATTCTTTCTCAGGTTCCTGAGGGCCTGCAAAATATCAATGTCATTTCCAGACATGAGAAACATGTTGGTAAAATTAAAACGTTACTGGAACCTCAAAATGGTATGATTGTCATTATTTTTGGGGGCTGAACTGCACCTTAAGCAAAAAAGCTGTGTGTTTCCAATTACACTTTCCTCAGCAGGGCAGCAAGTTATGGTCAATCAGCAAGCCAAATAACTGACAAAGAAAAGATTCACCGTACTGCAATGATCCATAGGATGTTGTGCGGGGGCAATAATGTCATACCTGATATATATAGCAGTTATCCATCCATCCATCCATCCATCCATCCATTTTCTTACACCATTGTCCCTTGTGGAGTCGAGAGGTGGGATACACCCTGGACAGGTCACCAGTTTGTCGCAATATAGCAGTTATATATTTCTCTCCACATACACACACATAAAAATTTTTTTTAAAATTCCCTTCTCACCCACCGCGGGTGGTTCTTATGCTCTGAGCCTCTACCAGAGGCCTGGGAGCTTGAGGGTCCTGCAGTATCTTGGCTGTGCCAAGGACTGCACATTTCTGGACTGAGATGTCTGATGTTGTTCCTGGGATCTGTTGTAGCCACTGCTCCAGTTTGGGGGTTACTGCCCCGAGGGCCCCGATGACCACAGGCACCACTGTGGTCTTCACCTTCCAGGCCCTCTCCAGTTCTTCCCTGAGGCCCTGGTATTTCTCCAGTTTCTCGTGCTCCTTTTTCCTGATGTTGCAATCACTTGGTATTGCTACATCTACCACAACGGCTTTCCTCTGTTGTTTATCCACTACGACAATGTCTGGTTGGTTCGCCATTACCATTCTGTCTGTCTGGATCTGGAAGTCCCACAGGATCTTAGCTCTGGCGTTCTCCACCACCTTTGGGGGTGTTTCCCACTTTGATCTTGGGGTTTCCAGTCCATATTCTGCACAGATGTTTCTGTACACTATGCCTGCCACTTGGTTATGTCGCTCCATGTACGCTTTCCCTGCCAGTATCTTGCACCCTGCTGTGATGTGCTGGACTGTCTCAGGGGCCTCTTGCACAACCTACACCTTGGGTCTTGTCTGGTGTGGTAGATCTGGGCCTCTATTGCTCTGGTGTTTAGGGCCTGTTCCTGGGCTGCCAGGATGAGGGCCTCTGTGCTGTCCTTGAGTCCAGCTTTTTCCAGCCATTGGTAGGATTTACTGATATCAGCCTCTTGGGTTATTTGCTGGTGGTACATTCCATGTAGGGGCTTGTCCTCCCATGATGGTATCTCTGGCACCTCAACCTCCGTTCCCTGTTGTCTGAGACATTCACTGAGCACGTTGTCTGTATATATATATATATATATATATATATATATATATATATATATATATATATATATATATATATATATATATATATATATATATATGGCTGACTGGATAGCTCAATACATAAGGCATCAGTATATCACCCGAGAGGGCAGGGTTCGAATCCAGTCTGGGTCCTTAGGCAAGACCCTTCAAGCTACTGCCTACCTCATACCATGAGAGATACTAAGTTGCATAACATGCCGGCTCAGACGTCGCCCGGCCAAACAAGGTCTGCGTCAGGTGTTGGGGAACCAGAGCACCTTGATGACAAATGGGCTACTGGAACAAGACGGAAATGGGCGAGAGATGAAAATGTGGATCTGTTGGAATGCTACTACTCAAGTAACCCTAGTGAGAGAGGTTACATGCAAAGACTGGGGAAGGAATGGTCACTTCGACATCCCCAGTCAACACTAAGCGCTAAACAACTAGTAGCTCAGTGTTCCAACATCCGCAAACGGCAACTGCTATCACAACTTGAGATTGACGAGATACAACACAAATGCTACGGCAAAAGGGAGGAACCCGGATGTCAGGACTGTGGGGACTTAACTACAAGTCCCCACCCAGTGAGGGGATACACGGCCCCAATGAGCGAAACAGAGCTGAACGAGACAGCTGCTGACCTGAGAGAGAGAATCATGACCCGAATGACAACCAGGCCTCCCCGGCGCCAATTACAACGGCTGAGTGAAGTACCATCTGAAAGTCTCATTGAGAATGTGAATGCAGCATTGAGAACGATCCCTACCAACACCATAACAGAAACCAATGAGCTGATCTACAACTCAGCATCAGTGATCCTTGAGATACTTGGCTATAAGAGCAACCATGAGACCCAATACCCACCATGGAAAAGACGGTTAGAGGCTAAAATCAAGGTAACAAGGAGGGAAGTGAGCCAACTGTCAGAGCTCCACAAGGGTGCAATGAAAAGACCAGTACCCAGAAAGTACAGGCAGATGCCCATACCTGAAGCACTCGAGACTGCCAAACAGAGGCTCCAAGCCTTGTCCAGCCGCCTAAAGAGATACACAAGGGAGAATGAATCCAGAAGGATTAACCGGCTCTTCTCCACTCAACCAGCTAAGGTGTACTCTCAATGGCAGGGTAACAATAACAACAGAGCAGACCCACCAAGGCTGGAGACGGAACAATACTGGAAAGGCATATGGGAAAGGGAGGCGTCCCACAACAGCAATGCACAGTGGCTGATCTCTCTACGAGAGGACCACAGCAACCTCCCTGAGCAAGCCCCGGTAACCATCACTGTGACAGATGTCCAAGAAAGAGTCTCAGGTATGAAAAACTGGACAGCACCAGGGCCTGACATGATCCATGCCTACTGGCTAAAGAAACTCACTGCTCTCCATGAGCGAATGGCAGCCCAAATGAACCAGCTGCTACAAAGTGGGACTCACCCTGAATGGTTAACTGAAGGGCGGACAATCCTAATCCAGAAGGATCCATCAAAGGGTCCAGTCCCACCCACTACCGACCAATAACCTGCCTCTCCACAACCTGGAAGCTCATGTCAGGCATCATAGCGGCCAAGATAAGCAAACACATGGATAAACACATGAGCACGGCACAGAAGGGTATCGGTGTAAATAGCAGAGGAGCCAAACACCAACTCCTCGTAGACCGCACAGTTGCCCGAGACTGCAAAACCCGACACACCAACCTGTGCATGGCTTGGATTGATTACAAGAAAGCCTATGACTCAATGCCGCATACTTGGATCATTGAATGCTTAGAGATGTATAACATCAACAGGACTCTGAGAGCCTTCATTGCAAACTCGATGAGGCTGTGGAAAACCACCCTTGAAGCCAACTGCAAACCACTTGCACAAGTGTCCATCAAATGTGGCATATACCAAGGAGATGCTCTGTCCCCGCTACTGTTCTGTATAGGCCTGAACCCCCTCAGCCAAGTTATCAACAAGACTGGCTACGGATACAGACTCAAAAATGGGGCCAATATCAGTCACTTACTCTACATGGATGACATCAAGCTGTACGCCAAGTGTGAGCGAGACATCGACTCACTGATCCACACCACCAGGATCTACAGCACTGACATTGGGATGTCATTCGGACTAGAGAAATGTGGTCGGCTGGTCACAAAGAGGGGGAAGGTCATCCACACAGAAGGGGTCTCACTCCCAGAAGGAACAATAGCAGACATAGAGGACAGTTACAAGTACCTAGGTATACCACAAGCAAATGGCAACCTCGATGAGGTCACAAGGAAAGGAGCCACAGCTAAATACCTCCAACGAATAAGGCAAGTCCTGAGAAGCCAGCTCAATGGCAAGAACAAAATCTGTGCGATAAACAGCTATGCCTTGCCAGTAATCAGATACCCTGCTGGAATAATTAGCTGGCCAAAGGAGGAGATAAAAGCCACAGATATTAAGACCAGAAAGCTACTAACAATGCATGGAGGGTTCCATCCCAAATCCAGCACCCTGAGACTGTACACGAGCCGCAAGGAAGGAGGCAGAGGACTAGTGAGTGTGAGAACCACTGTCCAGGACGAAACAACTAAGATCCATAAATACATCAGGGACAAAGCCTCAACAGACAATGTGCTCAGTGAATGTCTCAGACAACAGGGAACGGAGGTTGAGGTGCCAGAGATACCATCATGGGAGGACAAACCCCTACATGGGATGTACCACCAGCAAATAACCCAAGTGGCTGATATCAGTAAATCCTACCAATGGCTGGAAAAAGCTGGACTCAAGGACAGCACAGAGGCCCTCATCCTGGCAGCCCAGGAACAGGCCCTAAACACCAGAGCAATAGAGGCCCAGATCTACCACACCAGACAAGACCCAAGGTGTAGGTTGTGCAAGGAGGCCCCTGAGACAGTCCAGCACATCACAGCAGGGTGCAAGATACTGGCAGGGAAAGCGTACATGGAGCGACATAACCAAGTGGCAGGCATAGTGTACAGAAACATCTGTGCAGAATATGGACTGGAAACCCCAAGATCAAAGTGGGAAACACCCCCAAAGGTGGTGGAGAACGCCAGAGCTAAGATCCTGTGGGACTTCCAGATCCAGACAGACAAAATGGTAATGGCGAACCAACCAGACATTGTCGTAGTGGATAAACATCAGAGGAAAGCCGTTGTGGTAGATGTAGCAATACCAAGTGATTGCAACATCAGGAAAAAGGAGCACGAGAAACTAGAGAAATACCAGGGCCTCAGGGAGGAACTGGAGAGGGCCTGGAAGGTGAAGACCACAGTGGTGCCTGTGGTCATCGGGGCCCTCGGGGCAGTAACCCCTAAACTGGAGCAGTGGCTACAACAGATCCCAGGAACAACATCAGACATCTCAGTCCAGAAATGTGCAGTCCTTGGCACAGCCAAGATACTGCGCAGAACCCTCAAGCTCCCAGGCCTCTGGTAGAGGACCCGAGCTCAGAGGATAAGAACCACCCGCGGTGGTGAAAATAATTTTATTTATATATATCCCTGCCAGTAATCAGATATTAATCAGCTGGCCAAAATCATATATCAGCTGGCCAAAGGAGATAAAAGCCACAGATATTAAGACTAGAAAGCTACTAACCATGCATGGAGGGTTCCATCCCAAATCCAGCACCCTGAGACTGTACACGAACCGCAAGGAAGGAGGCAGAGGACTAGTGAGTGTGAGAACCACTGTCCAGGACGAAACAACTAAGATCCATAAATACATCAGGGACAAAGCCTCAACAGACAATGTGCTCAGTGAATGTCTCAGACAACAGGGAACGGAGGTTGAGGTGCCAGAGATACCATCATGGGAGGACAAGCCCCTACATGGAATGTACCACCAGCAAATAACCGAAGTGACTGATATCAGTAAATCCTACCAATGGCTGGAAAAAGCTGGACTCAAGGACAGCACAGAGGCCCTCATCCTGGCCGCCCAGGAACAGGCCCTAAACACCAGAGCAATAGAGGCCCAGATCTACCACACCAGACAAGACCCAAGGTGTAGGTTGTGCAAGGAGGCCCCAGAGACAGTCCAGCACATCACAGCAGGGTGCAAGATACTGGCAGGGAAAGCGTACATGGAGCGACATAACCAAGTGGCAGGCATAGTGTACAGAAACATCTGTGCAGAATATGGACTGGAAACCCCGAGATCAAAGTGGGAAACACCCCCAAAGGTGGTGGAGAACGCCAGAGCTAAGATCCTGTGGGACTTCCAGATCCAGACAGACAAAATGGTAATGGCGAACCACCAGACATTGTCGTAGTGGATAAACATCAGAGGAAAGCCGTTGTGGTAGATGTAGCAATACCAAGTGATTGCAACATCAGGAAAAAGGAGCACGAGAAACTGGAGAAATACCACGGCCTCAGGGAAGAACTGGAGAGGGCCTGGAAGGTGAAGACCACAGTGGTGCCTGTGGTCATCGGGCCCTCGGGGCAGTAACCCCCAAACTGGCAGTGGCTACAACAGATCCCAGGAACAACATCAGACATCTCAGTCCAGAAATGTGCAGCAGTCCTTGGCACAGCCAAGATACTGCAGGACCCTCAAGCTCCCAGGCCTCTGGTAGAGGACCCGAGCTCAGAGAATAAGAACCACCCGCGGTGGGTGAGAAGGGAATTATATATATATATATATATATATATATATATATATAGAGAGAGAGAGAGAGAGAGAGAGAGAGAGAGAGAGAGAGAGAGAAGAGAGAGCAGCTGAGAGAGGAAACAGCTAAGAGAGAGAGAGAGCAGCTGAGAAGGAAACAGTGGGACAGTTTAAGCACAATGATGATGCTGCAGTGAACATCTGGCACTCAAGCACACGGTGAGCTGCAGCTCACATATCAGGCAGGGCCTCTGGTCTTTGCACTAATCTGATTGGATTCCAGGCTAAAGAAGGTCAGAAAGGATAACAGAGTGGTAGGCTACAACAAATGCACAAACACACCAGCAATATATAAAGTGGACTGATCCTTCACCTAAATAGTAGTTCCAATACAACTCAGTATTTATGCTCTTTAACTTGAGAATGTATTTATGACCCTAAAATTGAAGTGGGCAAGTATGTTTATTTTTTATGTACATACAGTTATATCATGCAACTTTTATATTTGTTGTTATTATTATTCCTCTGTGTGGATTGGTGTAAAACAGGGATAATATTGTAGTTTGACTTGAACCTTTCTGTATAATCCTCCCACTAGTGGAGCTTGCACCATCACTGGCTTCCTTCCATCACTGGTTTGCCTTCGGTGGCCCGTCAGAATAGTCCGTAATTAATTTTTCTCTGGTGATTATTGAGGAGGGTATAACTATACATCTACTATATCTATATCTGTAATATCTACAGATGGACATCTGTCTTATTGATCAACAAATGGGTTGGCCTGGCCCAACTAGCAGCAATCTTCCTCTGAATGCTGAAAAAGTTCATGCATATCCAACATTTGCATATGGAGTGTCAAATGCTGATAAAGTTCCAGAGAAAAACAGGTGAACTACAGCAATAAAATTTATGTTACACAGTAAAAACTGAAGCAACAAAACTAGCTTATCAGAGAAATAAGACAACAAGATACAGTGAAACTGAATAGAAAACATGAAGATACAGCAATAAAGGAGATGACACAGGTAACTGTATGTTACTATTGTAACATAGAGTTTTATGCAAAACAAGAACAGTATTGAGATAAAACCAAGTTACAGAAAGAATACATGTCAATAAAATATTTGACAGAAGGCTCTGAAAACAACCTTGGCAACCTGACATAGCAGCAAGGATGTTGCTAACGTGGAAGCGTCTCGCACACTGTGAGCTGCAGCTGCTGCAGTGGCTGGGCAGATGTCCATCGTTCTCTACCCTCTAATCTCCTTGCTGCCTTAATCTGAAAAAAAGACACACAAAAGCCCAGAAACACAAGAAAGAGCAGAGTCATAATCTCTATCAAATCTGAAGGAAGACTCATAAGCTTTATTAGTCTCTACTGTTATCACATGATATCAGATGATTTTCAGTTGTTTAGTTCAATGACCTTCTTCCCTGAAAGCAATTTCTGTGATCAATTTGTCAACTGAAGTTAATGTTTATTTGGTCACATTTATCTAAATAACCTCACTTATTTACATTTTAATTACAGTAATTAAAATATATCAATGAATCAAACTGAAAAGCCATCTGATTTTATTTGGAAGGTACTGACCACAAAAGTATGAAGTTATTATTAAAAACAGTGATTTATCTTATAAATCAAGATAAATAATCTGCAGCCTCAGTAAGAAGATCTAACAGAGAAATATTAATAGGTGACAACCACTGATATCTTTAATATTCTGGTTGGACAGGACCTTCCTGTAGAGTGCTGCTTGATGAAGAGCCTTTCACACAGCTTATTGCCTCTGTTAAGTGTCCCTTTACAAAAGCTATGTAAGTGATTTAAGAGGTTTCTGGGAAAATGTTTAGTGCTTCATCCTCCCTGGTTAGGTCACTCAGTGTGACCGCTCTGCGGGACAGTGCCCGGGTTGGGGTCATGCACTTTGTTAGGTGTTCATGTTCGTGCGATTGGAAAACCACAGAAGGCTTTGATCTGTGTAGTGATACAGGACATTGGAGAGTGGCAGGTGGGTCTCAGTGGGGCTCAGACCTGGAGAAGCAGGAAACCTGGCAGGCTACTTCACACACTACACATGGTTGCCATACATGGATGTAAATAAGAGAAGTATGAAGAGATGATATTTTTACACTGATGTCAGTGTAAGTTGGCACTATACAAATGAGTACAAATTTGATTTCATTAATACAAATATTGAAGTTTTATTTATGTGACCGTATTCTGGAGGACCAGAGAAATAATTGAGGCGAGCCGGATGTGGCCCGCGAGCCTTGAGGTTGCTATAGGGCAAAAAAAAAAAAAAAACACAAGACAAAAGTTAACAACGTTGTGAATCAATGAGGCTGGGTTACTTCAGAGGCCCAGATTGCCAGATGTTCAGGGACGCAACATCATATGAAGGAGCAGACTGTGAGTTAATGTCAAAAGTTACATTTGCAGATATGTTGATGATGTCACCGCCAGCAGAGTGATAATGTACCACAACTAGAAGAATTGGATGATTGCAAAGGTTAGCTATCTGCTGAGGGGAAATGATTTAGCATCCAGTACTGGAGATGCTGGGGGGCCCGGGGCTTCCAGAGGCCCTCACTGAATCTGACTGGAATAGAGAGGAGCATTAATGTCTAAAGACCTAAAGACCATAAGGCCTCTACCTTATGCTATCAATACAGGCTGTGTTTGCTTTAAAAACAAGAACATTTCTACTGTCTTAGTTCAGTCACTCTTGGAAAAGAACTTTTAAATAAAGGACACATACATACATGAATCTAGTGTGAAGGATGAACACAGGGTGCCAAGACTGATTTGAAAATTTAGACACTAAAAGTTTTGAAACAGGATTGATGAGAAACCTATAAACAGACGGCAGTATGCATGTCACAAAACTGTGGAGAGTAGAAAGTTTATTCATGGCATGTATTAATATTTAGCTGGTATATAGATCACAGTTATGTGTAAAACCTGTAAGGCTGTAAAAATCCTCACAGGTTGACAATCACTTTCTAGACCAGCTAAGACATTATCCATGAGCCCAGGTTGAAAAGAATGATTACAGCATAATGATGTAAGGGGAGATATTACAGTCAGACCCAGTGTAGTTTATATTTACCTTAAAATATTAAAAGGAAACAATAATTATCTCATACTTACAAGTTAAATTTATGTGTAATTAGTAATATTACTAGATTTTTTGTCTTAAATTTAATTTTAATTTTTATCTTCCCTGCCTGTTACCTGTCATACTAGCACTGTTATGTGTTCTTGTTCTTAGAATGCACAGCTTACTGTAAATGCCAGGAAAAGATATAAAAAGAATATTTTTTTATCCAAAGGTGTCTGAAAATTTCCTGCTAAATACACGTTACCCAATAAAACAGCCTTCCTTTTTTAGTTGGTTATAGTTATAGGTGCCTCGTTATAACCGGTATGTTTCTCTCTGCTCTCTGCTCCAGAGTCTGCAGTTACCTGAAGTCATTGAGCTCACTCGCCATGGGAGCTTACCTGTGGCCCTTCATTGTGACCCCATTCAGTCAGCCTGGGTTCCTGCCAGCTCTCCTCCCGTTGGCTCGGCTCACAGAGGCGGAAAAGAGCCACAACAGCCTCTAATCATAGCCGCTTCACTGTTTCTGCAGTCTGCAGAGATGATTATGTCTTTAAAACTGGAGAGTGGAAAAAAATACAGAACAGTGTGTTCAGCAAGAGAGAGAGATAGAGAGAAACATGCCATATGGTCAACTTCTGTCTCTCCCATGAATTATTTGTGGAATAGTGAATTTACAGTTCTTTAAAATCATAAAACAAAATCTAATCCTCAACTTACAAATTAGTCTGCTCACTAGATAATGTCACCTTAATTTGTTATGTCATGTTTGCCAAATATGCTTTTATGCAGTCATAAAACATACTGCCACTCACATACTTCATATTTAATTTGTGAAGAATGTATGTGTGTATATGGAAGAATATATGGATATGAGAGAAGAATGTGTGTATGTGATGAAATATGTGTGTGTGAAAGTGGCAGTAAAATTAATGGTTTGTACAGCCCTTCATGGTAAACCACTTAATAGCAACAGTCATATTGACAACAGTGGCAGAAGCTGATTTTGTAATTTCATCCCTTCAGATCCCTGATATTATGAAAGTATTCCTGTCCATAGAACTTCCTGTTTACTGTATATTTCTCTTTATTTTACCATTCTCTGTAAACCCAGTAGAATGATTGTGCATGAAAATTGAAATAGATCATCTTGAAGTTTGTGAAATACATACATAAAGTGTTTTCTTATTCCATTGTGATCCTTGTCTTTTGCATCATCACATCTAGATGCTTAGTTGCACTGAATTGCAGCTGTCTGATTGGCGGATGTTAAACTCTTCAACATGTGTGTGTGTGTCTGATCATTTCATCTAGAATTTTAAGGCTTTACACATCTTTATAAGGGGAAATGAAAAACTAATACTGGAGCATACTGAAAAATTATTACAATTTAAATTTCAATTCAAATTCAAAAATGCTTTATTAATCCTGTTTCTATTTTTGCATTTAAGTAAAACAATAAAGAAGACCTGTATTTTCTGAAACTGATCAGAAGCACAATGAAACATGCACTAAAGTAAGCTTCTTTTAAAGTCACAGATTGTATCGGCAACTGCTTTAAAATCAAATAATACTGTTGGAAGTGATTTTAAAAAGACCATCAGCCATTCTGAGGAGATAATCAGTCACTTTAGGAAATGTTGAAAAATACATTTTGTCTGTATAATAAATTTCTCGTGGCTCTGGCTCTGGCCATTAGTGTAATTAGAAAGTCAGCTTGCATTAAATTGATATGGATGTATTGCCCGGGGATAGTGGAGGAAAGTAAGTGTGTGTGTATTTGCATGCGTGTGTATTTGCAGGCGTGTGTGTGTGCGTGTGTGTGTGTGTGTGTGTGTGTGCGTGCGTGTGTGCGTGTGTGTGCGTGCGTGTGTGCGGGTGCGTGTGTGTGTGTGGGTGTGTGTGTGTGTGTGTGTGTGTGTGTGTGTGTGTGTGTGTGTGTGTGTGTGTGCGTGCGTGGGTGTGTGTGCGTGTGTGTGTGTGTGCGTGGGGGTGTGGGTGTGGGGGGGGGTGTGCGTGGGTGTGTGTGTGTGTGTGGGGGGGGTGTGTGTGTGGTGTGTGTGTGTGTGTGTGTGTGCGTGTGTGTGCGTGCGTGTGTGTGTGTGTGTGTGTGTGTGTGTGTGTGTGTGTGTGTGTGTGTGTGTGTGTGTGTGTGTGTGTGTGTGTGTGTGTGTGTGGATGTGTTTGTGTACGTTTTGTAAAGCAAATGAGGATAAAATTTGGAGTGAAACATGTGACAGTCATTAATCAAAAAACAGCACTGCTTCATGTATGTAGCACACAGCAGCTATTGTTACATGGAACGTTAAGTTTAAATAGAATAAGCTTCATCAAACACGTCATTATTGAACATCCGCTGGACTCGGATGAACCATTAATGAATTGCTGCCTCGTTAATGGTGCTTGAATTGTGGGAGAATTTATTGTTGTCTGTCAAAATGACTGTAAAGAATAAAGAAAAACTAAAAAGTAGCACATGGAATTACACATCTTTGACCGTACTTTTATTCACCTAAAGTCAGCCAACAGATGGTACCGAACAATAAAAAAATTGATAAAATAACAACAGACAGAATCTGAGTTAAGCAGAAGTCACTTTATGTAGCTGATCTATTTGCAAAGAGAATTTTACCACATTATGGTGAAAGCGTGCAACAGCAACAGCCCGTTTGCTGTTTACGCAAACAGAGAGAGCCTGAGGACTTTCTCTGATGCCTCAATGTGTTGGTCCAAATGGTTTTCCACTTGGATCTGTTTCCTTCGAGGATGTTTCCAACTGGCACTCACTGAGAGTGTCTGTAATCAGGACTGACAATAATAATAATAATAATAATAATAATAATAATAATAATAATAATAATAATAATAATAATAATAATAATAATAATAATAATAATAATAATAACGTGATAATAATAATATGACAATAATAATGATGATAATAATAATAATAATAATAATAATAATAATAACGTGATAATAATAATATGACAATAATAATAATAATAATAATAATAATAATAATAATGTGATAATAATAATATGACAATAATAATAATAATAATAATAATAATAATAATAATAATAATAATAATAATAATAATAATAATAATAATAAGGTCTAAGAACGGAATCCAATTAATTGAATTCCTTTCAATTATATGAAAGAAATATTTGAACTAGCCTATTTCAAGTTGAAACAGCTAAAACCTGTAATGTTCTGATCCTCACCTGTAGCCGTGAGATATGGACCAAATCCCAGGTTCGCTAAGTAACTTTAAAATGCAATAGTTATGTAACTATTTCATTTGGAACAGAAGTTTGTGACTAATTCCCAGAAGTGTGGAATCATGTGAGTTGGAATTGAATCAATTCACAAACGTAATGGCTTCAGACTTCAAACTTGTCTTAATTCAGTTTCAAGCAGATTCCAAATCAAGAACAAAATTTCCTGATTATCAGTCAATGCACTTAAGTTCATTGACTCAAATATTCAAAATAGGTTAGTTAATTAATTTAATCTTAGGAAGCCCAGCAGATTCCATCAAGTCATCGATTCACACAGCCCGAGCACTTACTGTTCTGTCAACATTAAACTAGATTACATGAAATTTGAGCACTTAGGTGACACTAAAAAAAGTACCAAACACTGACCTTACCTCTACAATATATGATTTTATGTGACTCTGGCTTTATCATGAAGTAGAGCACACAATGTCAATTTTATTTGTATCACACATTTCAAACAACCCGAGCTGACCAAAGTGCTCCACAGTTTACATCAACAATCACAACATAAACAAAAAATAAAGCAATAAAAATATAACACAGCTATATTAAACAGAAAAGAAAGGAAAGAGAAAAGAGGTGTGAGAAAAACAGCAACTCAAGCTGGTGAGAAGAACTAGTTCATTATTATTAATAATCTCAGCTCCGGCTGTTGTTCTTCCTAATATTGTTCCCTCAGTAATAATAATTTGCTCACAGACCTACAAAAATTATTCAATAAAAGTCATACAGCGGACTTCTGTTTGCTCAGTGTTACGCAATATATTTAGTCACGTTAGGTGGGAGAGTGCGCATGCGCAGCGCACAAGGTCGTCTCAGCAGTAGTGTAAGCATGATGTCCCTAGCTGCCCGATCGGGGGCCTTTTTCCCTTACATGCAGGCTACAGCTTTTGCTGTGGCGGGGCCCCTGAAGCCTCTGGTTCCGGGTGTTGTTGTAAAGGCAGAGAAGTTTCTGATGGACCCGAAGAAGCCGTTCCTGTGCCGAGAGACGCTGAGCGGTCAAAGCCCAAAGACAGGCCCTGCTGTCACTGTTAGCATCAACGGTGAGTTCTGTCATTGGCTTTAGCTTAGGTGGCTCAAAATTGTTTAAAAGGCAAAGATGGGGTATAAATAATCTAATTCAGGTGTGTGTTGTATGAGAAACATATCAAGTGACATCATAATCAGTTGATAAGCAATGATTGATTGGCTCTATTTCAAGTTGAAACCTGTTTTCCAGTGTTTGTAGCTAGCCAGTGCTAGCTACATTAGCGCTATGAGCAGCTTCTTGGAGAACAGCTAGGCTACAATAGTTTAGCTTGGTGTGACTGTGACCCAATGTTCTCTGTAATAGCAACACATTTATAGTTATTAAATAAGTTGTGTCAGTGGATATTCTGGATGCATTCACTGTAGTAACATGTCAATATTACACATTAGCTCAGTGTTTCTCAAACTTTTTCAAGTTGAGGACCACTTAACCATTTAACACACAGTCACAGACCACCTAACCTGAAATCTCTCCCCAATAACACATCTTAATATGTAATGCAGCCTGAAATGAAATATTAGTCTCTTAACTCAAATGTAGTTGTTTTCTTTGTTCATTCTAATGAGAAGAGTGGTACTGGCCACAACAAAGCCATGAACAGATCTTCTTGGGTATTTTGAGTTATTTACAGATTCTGAAAGTATGAAGTCTAAGCTTTCCAATGATATCAAACACATGGAAACAATAATATAAAAAAAGTTGTTCTTTACTACCAAGTGCTATGTGCATTAATAACATTTCAAGCTATTTGTGATTTAGAAGCACAATAACAAAATAGACTCGAGTTTCTTTAACAAAAACAAAAAATGATTTTTTACATTATTAAATATAAAATAACCCACCTATTTCTATCAGTTGTATTTATTATTGTGTTTAATTTATTTAATCATTTAATTAAATAAAAATAATAGCTCAAGATTATCAAACAAAGTCATAAAAACAAAGAACTGTTCTGACTAAATGAGACGAGTCCTACCATCACCATAGTCAAAGGAATCCAATGGCTAGTGAATGACACATCAACGATCAGCTGCGAGTATGACTCGGCTTCCTCTTATCAAGCAGTCCTGGAGGTGTTTTCTTTCCCTGGTATCTGAAGCTTTTCTTTTGAGTGGCCTGGTCTCAAGCCAGTTTTCCATCATTATTTTTAAACACAATCCTTTGGTAAGCCAGCGGTAACGTTGCACTTTGTGCTCACGTCACGGCAAATAAACAGTCGTTCACATGCAGTACCTCGAGGACCACAGTTTGAGAAAGATTGCATTAAACATACTGCCACTTTCACACACATATATTTCACATGTAATCAGTTATTGGCCAGAAAACTGCAGTTGATGCAGCTCTAGTCAACCGCCAACATTAGAAAATAATTCATAATCCATGTTGATCTCTTATTATATTAGTTTTTATTTTTTAAAGCGTTCCTAAACAGAGGACATTGAATCGGCAGCTGAAGTCAGGATGCTGGATGTGTTGGCCTGTAAGCAGCAGAACTAATGACAGACTATTTTTGCAGGATGTGCTGGAGTCCGGTTCGCCCACACTGACATCAAAGTCCCAGACTTCTCTGACTACAGGCGCCAAGAGGTGCTGGACCCCTACAAGTCATCCCAGGAGAGCAGCGAGTCCCGGAGGACCTTCTCCTACCTGTTCACCGGGGTCACCGCCGTGGTCGGCGTCTACGCCGCCAAGACCGTGGTGACTCAGTTTGTCTCCTCCATGAGTGCGTCCGCCGACGTTCTGGCCATGTCTAAGATCGAGATCAAGCTGGCCGACATCCCCGAAGGGAAGAACATGACCTTCAAGTGGAGAGGCAAGCCACTGTTCGTCCGCCACCGCACCGAGAAGGAGATCGAAGCTGAAGCCGCCGTCAACCTCTCTGAGCTGCGGCACCCGGAGCTTGACAAGGACCGAGTGGTCAAGCCCAAGTGGGTGATCGTCATCGGCGTCTGCACACACCTGGGCTGCGTGCCCATCGCCAACGCAGGAGATTATGGAGGTTACTACTGCCCCTGCCACGGCTCGCACTACGACGCCTCTGGCCGCATCAGGAAAGGCCCCGCCCCTCTCAACCTGGAGGTCCCCTACTACGAGTTTCCAGATGACGACACAGTGATTGTGGGATAAATGTTCCCAATCAGAAAAAGGCAACTGGGAGCAACTGAAGTCTTGTTGCTCCCAACTGGGAGCAACAAGACTTCAGTTCTCCATGGCAATATTTGTCTTTAATTTCAGAACTGTAAATCATCTCCAGTTATTTTAAGATGTGGAGGCTGAAGCTGCTCTGACCTTAGCTCCAGTTATGCAGCTGGACACTTGGAAGATGCCATCGTCTCTGCTTCTTCTCATTGGTTGAATATGATGTAAATGTAAATTAAACCATATGTTATCACATGTCTTGCTCCATCTCCTGTTCTGCTCATTAAAGATTTCTATTTTATTTGACCTCTGAGAGTCTGCTGAGTCTTCTTCAGAAAAGAAAAACTTCAGCTGCTTCAGAGCCGTCTGGTTCTGTTCACACAGCACGAGTTTAAAGAGCCAGTGTTACGTAAAATCAATGATTTTAAGCTTTATAGAAGTCATAAAGTTATTCCCTCATCAAAAATGTAACCTGGATTGTTGCCTTGATTTTCTATTTTTTTCATGCATTCTTGAGAAATCCTTTAATCTCCTTGGTTCCCCTACTCGGCTCCTTCAGACTATCCAGCAGCAAACACCTGGTGGAGCTGTGTGTCTGCTGTATATTCTATTTCTCAGTCCAACATTGTTTTCACATTGAGGGTTAGTAGAGGAAAGATGTGATAACTTCCTGAAGGCAGTTTCAGAAAGAGCAGGAGTTTTTAAAGAGACAGAGGCCCAATTTCAAGGCATTAGATTAAAAAAGATGTATATATTTGCCAGCATGTGTACCACAAATGCTGGAAAACACCATACTGTCCCTTTAGGAGACAAATCTGCAGACAGGGATAAAAAAAACAAGGTGTGTTTGCAATGTTAGAGACTTCTAGGTGAAGGCACCTCAGGCAGAATGCCAGACCAGGTGTGGCTTCTGTGGAGATTAAAAGAAAAAGAATGAAGAGGAAACAAATTCCAAAAAATTAAAAATAGGAGAAAGTGAGGAAAAGTTCTGAGTTTGTCCTCCAGCAGCCTAAGCATTATGAGGCCTAAGCCGTAGCAGCGCGTTCCTCCATTAAAGCTCTTCACTGTGGAAGAAGCAGAAACTGACAATCTTTTTCAGGGTGACAGCTGGAGTTCAGATGGAGCTCCATCGTCAGCCACTGAGGATGGAGGAGGAGAGTGGGAGGAGAGTCCAGGGTTCTGTTCTGGGAGCAGTTATCTGACGATGGCTCTCTGTGGTTACAGCCTTTTCATTCTCACACAAGCAGCAGCTGATGATGTGCAAAGCTCCAGCAGTCTCATAAATGCTGCCACTCGAACCACTGATCATCCCCCTGCACACACTGCAGCCCGGAAGCATGACAGATTCACCATGTTTCTCAATGTCTAATCATTCTTTAATCATGTTCATTCACCCCTCTGACGCCTCTAGCCTCATGATGACAGAAAAAAAAGACATTTTCTCATTCTTTATAAGAAATTACAGAATATGCTAAACATCTATCCTGTCCAAAAGTTGCTGTGGTTGGAATATAATCTTAGTTTAACCATGTGCAGAAAAAAAAAAACAGGACATGTGTCACATGTCTGTGTTGCATGTCAAGCTTAACGGCTAGAAAATGTTGGACCCAGAAGGAGGTGGTTGGGTTTCCTTCAGTCAGCTGAACTCTCTGAATATTCCTCCCTGTGCAGCTTTTATTCTCCTATAACTTTTACAGTTACGACCTGTTCTCCATCTTCACACTCTCAAGGCATTCTGGAGAGAAATGTGGTTCCTCGAGTCAGAAAGCTGCTCATGGGTTTTCCAGTGAGGCAACAGGCCAAGACACGAAGCTAGAAACTCTGAAGAATGGCTGGACTGTGTGATGTACTGCAAAACTTTGGTTGAACTCGCCATGTTGGACACCAAACACACAACCAAGGACACACTTGATTATCAGTGAGGGTGTCCATGTTTCCACAGTCTCTGAAATCAATGTTCCTCTGTCTGACCGTTTTTCTGTCATCTTTGAACGTGTCATTTTTTTCGACTCACTCAACCATAGAGATATTACAAAACGTTTAAGGAAAGCTCAACTATGACCTTCAGTCACATTAACTCTACCATGCTCCTTCATAATGCAACTCAGGTGGTCCATGGTTTCCTTTCTAAAATTTCAGACATCATTGATTTCATTGATCTCAATAAAGTGAATGTTGAATCTGGCATGAAGATTCCTCCATGTAAAAATATTCCACTAGTAAGAAGTGAAAGAAACCATGGTGGAAGGGCTGCAGAAAACTGACTCCAGGTTCAATATGAAATCTACAAGGTACGTACATCAAGAATCTTAAAAAAAAAAATGTTGTGTGCCTAAACATTATTTTCTCAATCAAATCAAAGCAGTTTTTCTGTATTGTTCCAGATTATATCAATTTGAGAAGATCTTCAGTATTATTTCAATCAATCAATCACATTTTATTTATGTTGCATTTTATAAGTGAGAACTGCACCAAACTGCTTTTCTAGTAGTTCAGGGATGAAAATGAGAAAAAAAAAACCAAAAGAAACAACAAAGAAACATAAAAATGACTAACTACTTCAATATACTAAAAGCCATTCTGAATAAATGTCTTAAGGTTAGATTTGAACAGAGGATGGATGGATGGATGGATGGATGGATGGATGGATGGATGGATGGATGGATGGATGGATGGATGGATGGATGGATGGATGGATGGATGGATGGATGGATGGATGGATGGATGGATGGATGGATGGATGGATGGATGGATGGATGGATGGATGGATGGATGGATGGATGGATGGATGTGTTTCCATCCTGTGCTGTGGTAGCAGAGTGCTTTAGCGCTGCCTTTCCTCATGGCTGCCCTTAGAGCTTTAGAAAGCAGTCAGGTGTGACTGGGGAAGTGGAAGGAAGTAAAACACTTCCATCACTTGAGGGAGAGCAGAGTGGAAGCTTCATACTTGAATCCACAGTGACAGCTTTGCTCCAGGGCAGAGAGCCGTGCGGTCCGACCCAACTCCTTTTTCTCTGGGATTCTTCTGCTTCTCTGACATCTCTTGTCATCTCTGCTCACTACAGAGCCTTTCACTTGTCACGGCTTTCAGGACGGAGCGCCACTGTTTAAGGTGAGTGGGTTATGCCAGGAGGTTCCCAACGGCTGAGCCGCCCTGTTGGCATGCAGGGCAGCTGTCCTATGTAACCTTTTCCCCAACTTTTGTTTCCTGCTTTCACTTTTATTTTATTTGATGAATTTCTCTGGACAATAAAGTTGCATGTGGAGCTGCTTTTAAAATTATTTACGACCACAAATAAAATTCAGTTTCCATATTTTGTGTCAAATGTTCTGTTTCTCCACTCTTTTTTTCACTCTCTACATTGAAGTGTCCAAAGTGCAGCCTGAGGCCATTTGTGGCCCCTAGACTGAAAGTCTGATTTCAGTGAAACAAGAACACAAATGTGGGCCCCTGGTACAAATATTTGATATAAATGCAGAGTTTATGCCTTCAATTGGGACAAGATTACCACAAACAAGTAAAATCTTCTCACAATAGAAAATATTGGTTCTAACATAAAGCATTTGTCATTCAATAACTATTTGCTTTATGCATTCTTTTCAAGAACCAGTGATTTTTACTCAAAAGCAAACTTTTCTTCACCCAAATCTGCATTTAATTAATTTAGTAAACTTGGTAAATATAGCAAGCATTTTCAAAGAAATAGTGACCTGAATCTTGATTTTATTCATCAGAACTGAATACATTCTGTTCTGTTTTTTCCAGTTGATACTTAAAAAATATTGTCAATAAGGTAAATATGCAGGACTCTTTTTAGGTTTTGGATCTAGAATAATTTCAACATCCTTTTCCAGCAACAAATCTGACTACTTTATTTGTTTAATTTAAGTATTGCATATTTATTTTATTGTTGAGTGGGTAAAAAGCATTTGAACTTTTTCCCTCCTGTCCTTTTGACTCAATCACTTTGGCCCATGTGACACCCCTGCTTTAGACTAAATAATACAGAAAGTGAAATGAATGGAGCAACATGGAGATCCTGGAGGATAATCACTATGTCTGTATGCAGCGTCGTGCAGCTGCAGACCAGGTGATCCACAGAGGCTGAGTGTCCCTGAGCCAGTCATCCTGGCTGTGACCTCCAACCTCCCTCTGCACTCTTCCTTTACTAAACACTGCACAAAGCTCTTAGAGCAGCAAAATCACAAATATAAGTAAACATTTAACCTGTAAACCAGGAAGTTTAAGAAAACAGCATAATGTTCTGAAGAGGTGGAAGCTGGGAGAGCTGGGGGACAGTTGAGTCTCTGACATGAGAAATAAAACAAGTCTGACCTGCTGCAGACTCCACAGGGACAGTGAAACTGACCGGATAGACTGGTCTTGTCGAGACATGTGGCACACTAACTGAATGAAGCTCATTAGTCCATCTTATGGACTAATGAGCAGGAATCCATCTTTCACAGCAGCTAGCCTGGACTCTTCTTCTTCTTGTTTAATGGCGGTTGGCAAACAACTTTTAAGCTAGCCTGGACTGCCGAGACTCCTGTCCTTTAAACCCTTCAGCTGTGGTCCAGACTGTGGTCTCGCTGCATTGGGTTGTAAACACCAGTGTATAGTATAGTAACAAAGTAAAAATACTTCACTACTTTACTTAAGTATATTTTGGAGTACTTTATACTTTCCTCGAGTATGAAAATTTTTGATAATTTTCACTTTTACTTCACTACATTTCCGAACTTAATTGCATACATTTACTCTGATACATTTTCAATGTGTGGTTTAGTTACTTGTTACAAAAAAGCGAGAGAGAAACGCAAATGTTTTTGACTCCACCTACTGAACGATTGCAACAAAGTCAGCAGCCAACTTGCCTGGACTTGTTCATCACCACCAATAGGATGCATCTATTTCACTTCTCCCATTAAACACCAAGTTAACAAAAAAGCTCTCCCTCTTCAAAGGCCAAATAAGCTGCATTTCCCTCCCAATTCTTTTTTTCTTTTGCATAATGACCAGTTGTGTCCACCTATAGTGTGTGAAGTAGAGTAATTGTAATGAGTTTTTTTCTTCATGTTGGCTGCATTTTCTGTACTATTTATTTTTCTCATTTTCAGCACTGACCTTACTGAAAGGGAAAACTTGAGGCTTATAGAAACTTTGCATTTTCTGTCCTGGAGGGTTTACTAAGAATCTGGTTCAGTTGTAAAGCAGGTTAAGTTAACCTAAAGCAGGTTAAGTTAACCTTGTAGGTAAAGCACCTAATTTTCTTAACTAAATGATGCCTGCAGGTTTATCTATTAGCAGGTTTCATTTTGCTTGCACTTGGTTGTGTACATAATTTTACGTGTATTTAACAAGTTTACCAAAATATAAAAAATGTCATTCAAACTGCATTTGCCTTGTTTTACTTTTTACTTGTACTTTTCATTACATTACTTGAGTACATCCATTTTTACAGTAATTTCCATACTTAAGTACAAGACATTTCAGATACTTTAATACTTTAACTCAAGTAACATTTCAACCAGTGACTTTTACTTTTACCAAAGTCATATTTTGGAGAGATATCTATACTTTTACTTGACTCTGAGATTTTAGTACTTTATACAACACTGGTAAACAGATTAAAAGTGTAAGAATGTACATATTTATTTCTGACCAAATATACTTCATTTCCTTTAGAAATGAGGTTCTCTGCCAAGGTTTTGAAGGAGGAACAAGAACCCTGGCTGGTTGGAGGTTTTGTGTTGAACAGCCGGCCTCAGTGTGTTTAATGTGAAAGCTTTTCATGAATTATACATTAAACACTCAGAGCAGTGTGGAGTCATTTCGGCAGCCTCACAGTGTCCTTCAGTTTCCTCAGCCCAGCTAGTACATATGAAGCTTCTCATCTCTGTCACAGGAAAACAAGTGACTGAGTGACTCAACCCAATAAGGCTAACAGCTCAGTGGCTGACAGAGGAAGGCCTGTCTGCTGCAGCGGTCTGTTAGGTCAGCGTCTAACACACAACCTGTGTTTGTGTTTTTGCTACACATTGATGCACATAAAGCATGTTTGCTATTGTCAAAAGCCACAGTAAGTCTCAAACATTGTTGCCATGGAAATGAGTGACTTTTGGTTTTCTTCTGGTTTTCAGCTCTTTATTTGTCAAGGTCTTTTCTGTTAAAAACACCATGAATTGTTACATCCACAGTCTGCTGTGCAGGACAATGGGCATGTGTGTGTGTGTGTGTGTGTGTGTGTGTGTGTGTGTGTGTGTGTGTGCGTGTGTGTGTGTGTGTGTGTGTGTGCGGGAGTGTGTGTGTGTGTGTGTTAGGAAAATTATTATCTTAGTTCATTTACTTTTATATTGGATGGTTATGTTGTTTTCTTTCCCTTTCTTTTATTGTATATTCTCAACTGTCTTTTAGGGTTTTCTCTTGAGGGTTGGAGCTGTCTCACACATTCCTGTGTTAAGGAGCCACAATGATCTTTGTCTGTATCCTGAGAGTGGTCATCCTTGTGTCCCAATGATGGGACATCAACTGAAGACTTCCAGAACATCCTGTAGGATAGTGTATTGATCAATTGTTTGCATGTCTGAGTGAGAATGCCAACCTCTTTGTGTATTCACATGATAATAAAAGGCAGTTGGGGACTGAGAACCGATGGAGTTGATCTCAGACAGCGTTTGTCAGCGGTTCTCTCCGCGTCGAGCTCTTCTCCCCTTTTCTGCGGAAAAGTAATTTGTGTCTTTGGTTGATTCTTGCAGGTTGGGGAACAAAGTAAACCCAACAGTGTGCGTGTGTGTGTGTGCGTGTGTGTGTGATATCTGCAGGGCTTTCTTGTGGCCATTGAAGGTAACAACACCTTGCTAAAAAAATAAAAAATAAAATAAAAAAAATAAAGAGCAACAGCACAATGTTTTTTTGTTATGTTAGTATTTTTATGGAGCATTACATTCATCAAAATCAAAAAGGGACTACCAAATGTTTTGGACTACCACCTGCCTCTGTATGTTAAGGCAGGTGGTTCAGGTAATGATACTACACAGCTGATGAGCTGCTCACCCTGGAGGCTGAGTTCGTTCTAACTGTGTCTGGTGTAATTCAATCACACAAACAGTCCATTAAGTTCAGCTTATTTTTCACAGGAGTTCAAAAGCTTCTATCTAAGAAAACCCGGAAGATTGTATTGAGTCAGTGATCTGCAGCATCTACTCCTGACGGACCGTCACACAGCAACAATCAATACAGCCATGCCTCATGCAGAGACTGCATGCAGTGACAGTGGAGAGGAAACACTTACCTATAACAGGAAGGTTCAGGCCTCACAGTTCAACACCTCACAGCAGCAACTCTGATCTGACCAGGATCCTCCCTGAATCTGAATCTCCACTCTAAAGCAGTAGGCCTCCTCAGTTCACTGCCTTCCAGCTTTCAGCTCCATATCCAGACCATTTTCTAACTAGTTCTCCCCACTGATCCTACCACCACTGTTTACAGTCCTGGCTATTTGTGAATCAATCCTTTCCTTTCATTCTGCATGCATTAGGTCCTTTTTGTAAAGTTAACAGCAAGTTTTGGTTTATTTAGAGAAAACATGTTATAATCATGTTATTCATTCATTTATAAATGTCATAGTTCCAAAATATTTTATTCACAAGCTAAATATTTTGTTTAAAAACTTGACATTAAATTTAGTTTTATGATTTATTTGCATAAAATGTTTAACTTTATGACAGTAACATCTAACAGATGCAAAATATTGTAGTTTCTATAGATGTCTGCAAAACCCAGCTTTTATTTTGTCAGCCCACTTCCACTTATCAGCAAGCTAATTTGCATTTTATCTAAATATTTACTTTGTTTTCTAAATATTTAGCTTGGCGCTTAATATTTAAGTCTGAGCTAAATACGTACATAGTTTGCAAAATATTTGGTTAAATTTAGAAATAAATTTTCAAGTGTAAAAATAAATATTTGTTTTGTAGTCAAATATTTAATTTAGACTTATATATTTAGTTGGGAAATAAATTTTTAGTTTGAAAACTAAATATTTTGCTTCTGACTTATTTATATATGTAGTTTGAAACTGACATTTAAAAATGTATGAAAATATGATGGTGGTGAAAATATGAATTTGACAAATGAACGCCCTTTTTTTCCAAAATATTATGGTTATTTTCTTTGTCTATAACTTTGCAAATGCACCACATACGGATGTGTGTCAGGAAAAAAACCTGGAAATATGACGCTTTTTCTTTTCACTTCTCTTTTTTGAGATAAATCTCCATCCAAGTTCAGAGCAGAGGTAGCTTTGGTGGTTTGAAAAGGTGAGAAATTAATTTTTTTGGATGGACCACCAAGAATTACCCTGAGAAACAAAACCGGCTCAACAGAGCAACAGTGACATCACAACCCTGATGGTATGAACCACTTTAACTCCGTAATGTTTCTGTTGGTGAAGAAATGCTGCACAAGCAGTAAAGTATGTCTTGTTGCTCTTTGTTAAAATACATACAGTATGATATTCACATCTTCAACTATTAGTTTAATATAAAATGAAGGTTTCAGATTCATTTTTAACGGCACAGACTTAAGCCACAGCCCCACTTCAACAGCATAAAAATTTAATTCCTTTGCAGTTAATTGTACGTTTGGTGCTCTGCAGGCAGGGATTTGACCGATGAGTCATTTACCTTCACGCACAGGAACCGAGGCTACTATGAGGCTGAGTAAACAGTAACCATATAACAAGGTCAAAGACCTGAAGGATCTCACTGAACTTTGTTTTACAGGCTCTACACGAACACATTTGTTAGGGTGAGTTTATGTTTCATATCACGTGTAGATATTCTCAATATGACAAGGAGAACTGAATCGGTAAAGCAAACATGCAGTGGTCGATGAGCTTGTTAGACAAAAAGGTAAAAGTTGAGACAGTGAATGTCTCGACGTTCACTGAGAGGACATTTTGGAGGTAAATATCTAGCTCCAAATGTAGCCTCCGTCTGCGTTTGTGGATCTCGACTCCCTCATCACCATAAACAAGCAGAGTGCAGACTCCTCCCCGTGACCTTTGGAAAATCTTCCATGTTTTTTCATTCTGTTGAGCACCTGCTGAGTTACATGTTCCCTCCTCCTCATCTCAGCCACAGACGCATCAGAAGTCAATCCACAGTGAGTACAACAAAAAGAAAAGCACGTCAATTCACAGCAGATCAGTGCTGATGGGAAGAAAATTGTTGCTAGATAAATATTTGCTATATTCTGGGTATTATGGGATGTTTTTGTTCATTGGTTCAGTTTAGGATTCATCCAGAGAGGCAGATTTGGTCCAGCTCCAGTTTTAAACGGCTGCTTATTAACTATGAATATCATTTCTATGTGGTTTACAGTGTGGTGGGTTTTGCTTTTCATGATGCAGGAGGAAATGGTTGGAAGGACTGGACATAGAAAACACTCCTACATCAGTTTATCTGTTTCTTCTTGTGTCTCTGCTCTTTCTTCTCAAAACTCCAGTCAGTCGCGGCAGATGGCGGCTAGTACTGAGCCAAGTTCTGGTTCTGGTTCTGTTGGAGGTTTAATGCCAAGTAACTGAAATGTGAAATGTCCATTTTTGCATAATTTGACTGCCTGCATTGATAAATGTAACCAGGTGAAAATAATTTGTGATTATTTTTTACCTGTGATTTTAAAATTCATTTAGATTCAGTCTGAATCCAATGATTCTGAATCATGCCACTCAACACTGGGTTCAGTTCAGTTTATTTCTATTGCACCAATTCACAAAATATCAACTTAGACAAAAAGTCATTTCAGTCCAATCATGCAGATATTCTGACTGATTCCAGATATGCTGGATCTGATTTAAAAACATATTTTCTGTTTTTGTTACATGAAGCTTTGACAACGTTAATCTACTAATTATCTGAGATGTTAGTCTTTCTAGAACTTGTATCATATTGTTAACAAATGGAAAATACTCTATCATCTGCATATGTTTTGTTAATAGGACATACAGTAGTTATTAGGACACCAAAATGAAAGATAATTTATGCAAAGGGAAGCAACTAATGTCCCAAAATACAATCTTGTGGGACAAATAAAGGGGAGGAGTGCAGCTACTGATTTTAAAACATTATGATCAATAGATAAATAAGTTTCGATTCATTTTTGGCACCTGATGGGAAATTGAATCAACAAGATTTTACAGTTAAACAATCAAAGCTCTTAGTCATATCTAGTAAATATTTTACTCTTTTTCCGATATTTTATTTCACAATAAAACATTGAACTTAGCATTGCCATGCAGGCTGGGGTCATCTGATGGTGGGTGGATATGCAGAGAGAGTACATCAGTATCTTTATTGATCCTCATTCAGTGAAAAATCATATCCCTACCAACTATGATAAAGATCATAGCACCATAAATTCTGAGATGAGATGGAGATATAGATTACCATCTCTGTTAGAACTGCAGCGGCTGTGGCTGTTCTTTAAATGTGACTACATAAATCAAACTCTAAACGATGGTACAAAATGTTCCCTAATTTCTTTGTGTTCTTACAGTTCTTTATCCACTTCAGAAATGTTTCACTCTTGGGTATTTCTGCTTCTCCTTGTCCCAGGTAAATAATCACTTTGTAAAATAAGGTAGAAACTGAGTAACTGAGTTAGCATATATGCTTTTAATAAAGTCAACCTTTTGACCTCTGCAGGAGGGCAGATGTTTATGATCCATAACACGCAGTATGGCCTGTGTCTGGAGGAGTCAGCTGACACAGGTCAAGTTCTCCTGAAAAAGTGTGACCTGGACTCTCAAGCTCAGCAGTGGCTCTGGATCAACCAGGGCATGCTGATGTGTGTCGGATCCTGCAGGTGTCTGTCGGCTCAGCAGAACCATCCGGTCCAAACCCAGGCCTGTCCGGAGTCAGACCAGGAAGCTCCAGAGCTGATGTGGGACTGTAGCAGTAACAGACTCAGCAGCAGAAACACGTCCTTACTGTTGTCCACCGACGGCCAGCGTGTGATTCTCGATAACCACCTCAAGCACTTTGAGTGGAAGTCTCTTGACGTGGGCGACATCTGTCAGACAAGCCTCCGTAAGTCTGAAAGAAGCAAATCCGATGCAGTTGATCTCAGAAATATACGGAAATATCTGGAATATAAAGGCAGCAGTATCATTTCTTTGTAGCACTTCCAACAACTAAACTGCAAAGCAATCCAGTAATACTTTATCACATGTAAAAGTCCTGTCAATAATAACCGTTTGTGTATTAAATTTTTTTGCAGGGTTTGATGTACCAGCACAAGTAATTGATCTGTTTCTGAAAACTGAAGGATTTGCCGTGTTCCTGTGTTCCTCTCAGGGCTCCGGAGAGCGTCTGAGGACCAGGACCCGTTAGCTGATCCGGAGGAGGCAGCAGCCGGGATGAAAGGCATGACAGAGGAGGAGAGAGAGAAATACCGCTGGTTCTACCGCACAGAGGACCGTAAGTACCGCTGCTTATCATGAAGGTTATAAAATCCTGAAGCCAAACGTGGTTCACATTGAAATGTTTGGTGAAATCAAAAGCTGAATCTGAATCTTTCATACACATTCAATAAAAACATACCACCACAGCTACAGTATGTAAATTTTATAGAAAAAATGCTTTAACATATTTGTTTAAACTGTCACCATATTGTGACAGCATAATATGAGACATGTAATCTGAAAGACTCAACCTCCTCCATCTCCTTTCAGTGGTCCGACAGTCATCTGTAGAAAGACACCACTCTATAATAAATTAATATTTTAATAAACTAACTGACTACACCTACAATGGCCTCTCACTTTGAGTCACAGAATATGACAGTTTCCCATCTGTTTGCCAGCATAGAAACACTGTCAGCTCAGCAGCAGATAGCCATGGTGTATTATCCCGTTTGGATTGGAGTTCTGGGTCCTGGCGGCATTATCAGCTACTGAATCAACTTCTCCTTCCTTACAGAATTCAATGAGGGGCAGGAGAAAAGATTTGGCTACTAAGAGCAGTGGAGTGTGTAATTTCTGTGGACCAACGTTGTTTCAGAAGGTTCTGGTCCAAGATGTTTTTTCAAGAACATAATCACTAACTTTGTGATTATGTTCTTTTCAATCTTGCAGCAACTATTTGGACTTTTGTGCTTTTGGTTCTGGCTTTTGTCTGTTTGCTGATCGGGTTTTTGCTGCTGGGAATGGGAGCCATGGCCAACAAGTACGAAATTACACATCAAATCTTAGCAGCAAGGGGAAAGATGTAAGATTCAATTTTAAGAATTTCCTGCTTCATCTCCAACAGGAGCAGAAAGAAGATAGCTAAATACAAAGCCCAAGTATCCCTTGTTAAGAAGCATGAAGGTGAAGAGCTTCAAGTAATTTCTACTCTTCGGGATAACGGCACATCTCCACTGCCCCAGGGTCACACGTCATCCATGTCTGAAGGTGACACAAAGGAACTGAAAGCAGGGGAAATTGTGGTCACATGGAAAGACGGCAACACCTCCTGCTTGTATCCAGATCATGTTTTAGAGGAAAGACAGGAGGAGCTGGAGAAGGAGCAGCAGGAGAAACGGGAGGAAGTGTGGCAGGAGCGAGAGGCTGATGATGAGGGGAGGATGACAGAGTGAATACTGGTCTGTCCCTCAGCTTTTAAAGAGATCCACCATTAGTTGTAATAATAGACTTTATTTGAGGAATATTTATTCAGAAAAAAAAAACAATAAATAAAAATACTGCTTTCAAAATTGAAATAAAATATTGTCACATGGACGTTGCCATATTGTTTACACTGCAGTGAATTCTGGGTAAATGATGTTCGCTTGGTCCAGTTGTGCTAGCTCCGTCCAGCTAAATCTGCAATGAGTAACATTACGACTTTTTAATTTGAACTGGAGTGTCTTGAAGTTGATGGGAATGTAGAAATCACCAGAAATAATGAAGATGAGGAGAAACAAACAAAGGAAGAGGACAGAGTTGACTGAAGAAGCTGGTCTTTGTGCTGCTGCCACCTTCAGCTTCATAGATGGAACAATAAATGACACCTACTGCTGCTCAGACTGTGTGATCCAATAAGTAATTGAGGTGTTCTGAATCAGGTCTGGTCTTTGGTCCGGTGTCAGGTCTGTGCTTTCACATTTAATACTGACAGCAGAAGCAATAGCTCCCTTATCATTTCAAATAGCTTCCAGCACTGTTTCTCCCAGGTGCTTTGTGAATAAAAAGTGCTAGCACTGCAACTGGTTTTAGCTTGTGAAGGTAACCTGCTAGATCCTTCATCAGTTTTGCTCTTACAAATAATTCAGTCTTCTGGAGATAAATGTTGAGGGAACAATTGTGTCCTTTCAAAGTTTTTTTCATGTGGGAAGCAAAGCAGACTCACCACACTACTATTAAAAAAATCACAGCCAACTCCGACACAGTGTCACACTGTCTAAAATTACACCAGTCGAACGCAATATGATAAACAACAACTTCGGTTAAGTTGTTTAGTCTCAGATTCCAGTACAAAACGGACCAACTGCCCCAACGCAACAGGGTGAAAAAATGGTGACTTCCATGGGTGAAAAATATAATGAAAGATGAAACATTTTTTGAAGAAATTATGACTTTTTATGTATCTCAAACTGCAATTTTTGAGTTAGTAGGGAAAATGCAACAAATATAGGACATGTTCAACTAACTGTGGATCACTTTAAAGTTTCCTGTCATTTACATTTAATAAACTACAAAGCTCTAAAGATGTTTTTTCAACAATCATGTGACTGACTGCATTCTCCAGTCTGCACTCTTTGATGTGAACTGTTCACAAATCTTTAAATCCCTTCAACCTCTTCTGTTTCTGTCTTGTGTAATCTTGACTCAATAGTGACTGCTGCCACAAGCTCACCTGAAACCACTGCAGGTCTTAATGCAGCCAAGGTGGTGTATGCATCAGTGTCATCCGGTGAGGTTCATGATTCCTCTGGAGTCAGGTGTACAAATATTTAAAACCCAAAACAGAAGTGGAGATTTAAATTTAGCTCTTATTTTGACCTTAACTTAAACATTTAGTTGTATTAAAAGCTTTCAATTGTGCTTTAATCAATTCTATACATGATAACAACACTATAGCAAGAATAACAGAATACTATTTTATAAAACTGAAATTAGATTTTTTTTTTTTTTGGCTGATTCTTTTCTAACGAAAATTTAAAATGATTTCATTATATTTGTAATATAAAGTCCATTCCCACAAATATTTGTTTCACTTTTGTAAAAATTGCTCATTTGCCTTCATTTTTAAAAATCTGGCAGCTTTAATGGAGCTGATCAGCATGGAGGAGAGCAAAAATATGAAATAGTTCTATTCTCACTGAGTGTTCTTGTACTTTTCTTATTGTTTTCAGTCTTTTTAATTTGTAGAACACCTGTTGCCCTTTGTGTCTATTTGGTTCAGCGCCTCACCACCATCAGTGGGACAGCGTATCGTGCTTTCTGCCTAATTTTCTTAATTTTGACTGCTCATTTGTGACTGATCAAAAGGACTAAATATGCCACTCTCAGTATGTTAGACAGACTGTGAAATATCAGCATGTAGAATTAAACATGTATATTGATAATATATAGGAATGTTTGTGCATCAGCTGCCTGCTTCATTCACTCTGTGACACAGTGCCCCACCTTTCCTCTCTTCCTCCATGTGTTTGAACAAACGATGCTTCAATTCAGCAATTGTGATTTAACTTGTCAGGATGACACGTGAGGAGCGGTTTTCCCTGGTATGCATGCTTTTTTCAATGCCAGTTGATGCACCAAGGGTCATATTGAAAACACTTTGTTGTCGTGTAGTGGACTGAGTCAGCTAAAGTATGTCTAATTTCACATCTTTGCATCCTGTATATGGTAACTTGTATGTACTATATTCAAAATCAGTTTACAATCTGTTTGACAGTAAAACCACAACATTACCAGTAAGTGCTTAAAGTCTCCATTTAGTATATGTCGTCTTCACTGTAATGTGTTGTATCTCTTTTTGTTGAAACTTTTTCCAAAATGGAACAAGGTTATACCTTAGTGGTAAATGGACTGAACTGATTTTCCAATCATTTTAATCACTAAAGTAAATGTGACTTCTCATTCACACACACATATATATACACACCAGAATGCAGATCACTTTCAATCAAAAGACAACTACTCTATCCACAGAGCCACAGTCACCCAAAGTCTGGTCTAGGGAGAAGAATTGGGTTTAATCATGTCGTCATTTTGTATGAAACATAGCATATGAAGCTTGAACCTGTCATCCTTTTCTTGTAAACTAAAGCTGTGCACAAGTCCCTAAATCAAAGTCCGCCTCTGCCAGAGAATAAAACCTCCAGTTTTGCAGTTAGGCCACTAACTGATGAGAAGGTACCAGGTCTGAAGCTGAATTCAGACCTGATCCTGGTCCATATGAATATGAATATAACCATTTATTGACATGTTATACGAAGTGCCTTTCTAAAGTTATCTAAATTGTCAAGTGTTATCTGTATTGCAGATTGTAATGGAATGGGTTGGGCCTCTGTCTCTGTTCAGGTAGTTTTTGTTATGGCAGAAGAACTTTGTAATAATAAACTCAGCAACCATATGCAAACAACAAATGATAGTTACAGTTTTTTCTTTCTTCTATTGTTGATAAGACTATGGCTGCACTCACACCAGCTCTTTTTAGTTCCTTCAAAGGGGACATCACAAGCCAAATGTCTTTCGTCCTTAACCCCTTGTACCTAACATCTCTTTTTTGGAGAGTTCTGAAAAATATAAGATATAATATTGCTGTATTACAATTAATAACAAGTGGTTTTTGAAACAATGTAGCAAGTGAAAGTGTTGCTAAAAAGTACACTCCTGTGTGCTCTGGGCAACACATTTCAGAAGAGTCTTAGGCAGCAGAAATATCCTCTGAGGTCAGTACTGATGCCTTCCCACTTAGCGCTGCTTTGCCTGCATGCTCCTGCTGTTTTAGTTGTAGCTAAACCAGTTTATGGTTCAATAATGTGATCTGTCGGCTGCTTTCCTCTTAAACCTCAGAGGAAGCTGAAGCTGTTCACTTGCTTGTAAGTAACTTACACTTTGTAAGTTATTTTATTTTATCACAACAGTTTATTTTTCTGTGATAAACCTTAGCATTAAAGGATGGTGTGTTTTGTTTTTTGTATTTTGTACATGGTAAATGTCCTGTACTTGTACAGAGCTTTATCTAGTGGAGAACATCCCAGATCGCTTCACATTACATTGAGTCATAAACCCATTCACACACACACACACACACACACACACACACACACACACACACACACACACACACACACACACACACACACACACACACACACACACACACACACACATATCTACACACTGATGGTGGTGAGCTCCATTGTAGCAATGGTGCCATGGTGCAGTCTGACAGAAGCGAGGATGACTCTACGTCTTACACAGCCATCTACAGGATGTGATGACTGATTCCTTTGAGGGATTTCTGGTCCCTCAAAGGGACTGATGGGTTGATGGGTGAGACAAAAAGCCCAGGGTAAATCAGAATCAAACAACTGAAGCATACAGCCAGAATGTTTAGGAGAAGTGACCCAGCAGGAGTTGCACAAAGTTCAGATCCAAACCTGTAATAAGGTTTTTATGAACCAGAATCTTTGAATTCCTTACAAAGGAAAAATATACCCTGTTAATATACCAGCTCCTCTTCCTGCTCTGTTATCTGTTGTGTTGCATCGACCCGTCAGTCTGAAAGTCATCTAAAGTCACAGTTGGATGGCAGACGTGTCAGAAGATCTTAAAGCCCTTGAGCAGGGTGAGTGTGGCGGCCCTCCGTTTGCTCTGAGCTCTGGATGTCTTCACCGTGACCAGCTTGGCGGTGGCAGGTGCCGGCAGCTCTTTGTAGCATAGAGTTGAGAAGGAGTGGACACCCAGCAGAGCTTTGTCCTCGCTGACATAGGCTGCACTGAGCAAGTTACTGCGCTCGCCACCTCGCTTAGCCCTCCGGACTGCCTCATGGAAGATGTGCTGCACAGACAGGAAGTCCCAACAGGCGGACACCTCGAAGAAGGAGCAGTCGAAGCGTATCGCCACAGCCTCACCATCACCCTGACTCACCTGCCTGAAAGGACAAATCAGCCTTTAGACACGTTTTGAATTCATTTTGTTTTGTTTCTTCTTCTTTTACTAGCTGATTGTTCAAATGTTTTCATGCAACTGTAGAAAAAAAAACACATAACCTTGAATTCTTCATTGTCTGACAGAAGACCAGACTTTGTTTTTACAACATGAACTAGAGATGCACCAATCCCTTATCAATATCAATTCAGCTGTTTTTCTGTATCTTATCAATATCTGCCAATACTAAATCTCAGACGTTTGTATCGTTACCAGAAGTGAAAAAAGTGGATCATTGATAATCTGATGTCTATTGAGATATCAGCTTTGGTCATCTAACTGCGCCATCAGACACAGAGACAGTCATCTCTCTCTGAACATTTCACCCGCACTTCTGTGAGTGCTGTTTGCACAATTACACAGTAAAAAATGATCAACAATATTTTGGTTTATTTCGTATGAAAACCAAGAGTAGACATTTTCTGCATATATTTTTCCCCAATGGGTTTCTGAGATAATGAGTGAATGTCAAAAAACAGAGTTTGTTTTGTTATCTTGAGCTCTACTTCTGTGTTTCCTTGATTTCCTTCACAGGTTTCTCTCCTGTTGAACTATAGCTGGTGAAAATAAAGCTTATTTGCTGAAGTTGTAATCAAACACATTCATCTGTATTTGACTGTTATGTTGCCAAAATCCTCTAGGTTTACCTCAGCCAGTGTTCAAAGCTGTTTCCAGGTCACTTACTGCCCTTAGTTTTCATTACATGATGGGACCACTGTGTAATGAAAGAGCTGTTATCTTAATGTACCCACTGCTACAAATAAATAACTTTGACATCATTTATTGAAATACTACTTAAATAAGATGTTCAGCCTTGACCCATAACAGTAAAATGCTACCACAGGATTACATGCCTGTATCTGTCCATGTCCAGCTTGTTGCCCACCAAGATGATGGGAGTCTGGGACCTGAAGGTGTTCTTATGGATGGAGAGAGTCTGCAGATACAGCTGGCAGCCTTTAAAGCTCTCCATGTCGTTGATGCTGTAGACCACCAGGAAGGCATTGGCCCATGAAAGATAGCGCTCACAATTCACTGGACCCTCCTACACACACATGTGCACGCAAAAACACACACACACACACACACAAACACATTTTGTGACAATTTATTTTTTTTACCATTAAGCCAAAACTGCTTTTTCTGCTTGAATAAATAAACAGCTGAGAATGACATCAGGGATTAATTTCTTTGAACTTGGCTGAACTGGCACAATATTCATGAAATTATTAATAACAATTTATTTTGAAAGCTGGAAAATTGTGCTAATGATTTTGACTCTTATTGGCAAGAAGCTGATATTCTTGTATTTCGCTTTAGATCATATGTTGAAACGCTAAACATCACAAACATCATCTGTTACAACAGCTTGGTATGATTAAAAACTTCCAGAAGTGTTAATAAATACTTAATTCATGCAAGTTTTATTATATTATAGACCATCATGGGAAAACATGATATCATAAAACTGGCTGCAATCGTATTGGTGGCATTGAAGTGAGAATATTGTTTACAAGAACTTCATATCAGCGTTACATTTAGTCCTAAAACAAAATCGTCCTCTGAGTGGCTTTGAGTTGATCTGCGATGTTTCAAGAAGGCCTGGAATCAGTAGCTGGCTGTTCCAGTGTTTCACCTCTAGAGGGAGCGCCTTCCCCTCATACCTTCTACTGACTGTAATGTCTTTTCTATGAACCTTCAGATCTTCTAACCTGTGCCTGCAGTAGAATCATCTGATGGCTCAGAACGTCACTGCAGGTCTGCTGCTGTTCTGATGCTGTTCTGGTAAATGTGGAGCTTATTGCTGAGGCTCATACCTGGTCACAGGTGTCCATCACTCGAACTGTAACAGGCTGCTGGTCCACAAGCTCATCTGATGAATAGATATCCTCTGAAATACACAAACAAAAGGAGAGCTTGGATACTTCCAGATGTATTGTCTCATAGCTGAATGAAGCTAAGTTCGCTCATGGTCTAATATCCATTGATTTCGGGATTTTGTGTTATGTGCACAAAAACCTCACTCTGTTCCGGAAGCAATGATTTATTAAATCTCCTCCAGTCAGAAAATAAACTTCTTGTTTTGAGATCTTGTGATATTTGTCAAAGTGTCGATCAGAACTCTGGCCCCTGATGTTCAAGCTAAACACATCCACCAAATTATTATGCTCCAGTGTCAGAGATGAGGATTTGTTTTCTCCCACTAGTATTAGTGGGATCAATTGAATAAAATATACAGTTAATGTACAATTTATGACAAACACAAAATGTGGTTGTAGTTTGGAATTGATCTATATAATGTTTCACTTACTGGTAATGTACCGTATTATTATAGATTGCTAAGTATAACTGTATAATAGAACTTTGTACTATATTTCAAAGTTCTTTGTGGTTTATCACCCACTTATTGGTTTCACATTGTAGTCTCATGTTGGATTGTAAAGTGTAATCACTGCAGTAAATCTATTAACTTTAACTATCTCTTTTAATCAGTGTTGAAGAAAAGACTCACCAAGATAAGGATCATATTCACTGATGAAGCGCTTTGTGAGAAACTTGACAGTGAGAGCTGTAAAAGGAGAAAAGGAGCATAAAACAAGTTACGTAAGTGAATCTGGATCCCTGGGGACCCAGGGGGGCTAGGGGTCAGTCAGAGTCCTGGGAAAGTCAGAGCTTCATAAACTGTCCCATTTACCAGGAGAAATGGTAGAACTGTTCTGATTGACCACCCTGAAAACAAATTCTCTTTGCTGCACAAATAATCGTTAACATAAAGTCAGCCGGATTCTCTCTGAACTAAAAATAGAATCTAAAATCCTGATCAGAAGATTTACAAACAAGAAATGAACATGGCTCCTTTACAATGTTTTACATCAAGTTGTTAAAAAAGAACACAGACCTGATTTTCCACAGCCCATCGCTCCGAGCAGAACCAGGTTGCACTCTGCACATGGCTTTACCTTCCCAAACATCCCAGTCATTGTCAGGTCCAGACTGCTGCACGATGATTCTGACTGTCCTCTGTCTGCTGGGGATCTTGTCCTGACAGACGAGCCGGGGCAGGAAAAGATGTGCACTCCTCTGGGCAGAAGCCCTAAGCTCCCACAGAGGAGGGAGGGATGATGATGATGATGATAATGACGACGACGACGATGATGATGATGACAATGATGATGATGATGATGATGATGATGATGATGATGATGATGATGATGATGATGATGATGATGATGATTCAGACCTGTGGTCTCAGTCCAGGGCCTTGTGCAGCTCATTCACTCATCCGGCTAATTTTGGTTTAAAAAAAAGCTTCAAAGAAAAACAATAAAAACTAAACTTAAAGAAAACATCGACTGAGTCAAAGCTGTGTGGTCAGACTCAATACTGCCATACAGTTCAGTGCTTGTGTTTTGTCATTCATGTTACATAGATATGTCAGACATCCTTGTTTTCATATTTTTGCAGATGTTTGTTTTTGTTCTGTACAGGAACATTTTCAACTTCCCACTTCAAAACAGTGTTTATGACATTTGACTTACAGCTTTTCATTCCTTCTGAAAAATTCTTAATAATGTCAACAAGCAGGTTTATTCAAATCACTTTGATAACACATAAACACATACATTAGCTGAAAATTGTTTTCTCTGAATTACATCAGCAGAATTCAATTCACAATACCTAGAAGTCGGACTTCTTATTTTTTGGATCGATATTGGCTGAGTTAATATCGGCCAATATGCTCTGAGACAGAGGAGCAGTGCTTCTTTGACTTAATAGTTGTTTAAAAGAAAAGAAAATGCCTAAATGTACTGAATTACAAGTTTATTTGATAACTCTGCACCAATTCAGCACATTTACATACAACAATAGCTTGACAAGCTTGATCCAACATATTGAAACAACACAACTTTCATTTGTAAAGCCTATCAGTGCTATGAGGAGCATAACAATCAATGTAAAATAAATAATTAAGAAACTAAAACTGAAAAACCAAACCGTAACAGTAACAACTGTAACAATATTGTATCGGTGCATCTTCAATTATCACCCAGAACGGGTTGATTTAGTGTGAGCTTATAATCAGAGTAACATGACATAACCAGCAGATCAGATGATCAAAGTCATACTGTAAAACCTTGTAATAAAATGTTCCACCACAGCTCTGTGTCTCAGTAGAAGATGAGCCATAAACCTCACAGCACAGTTGTCCTGTGAATAGATTGGGTGTTGAAGTGGTGGTATGTGTGGCATGACCCCCAGATGAGTCAAACATTGTCTCATCAACTTGGCTTGATGCACAAGGTCAGATGTTCAGCTGTTCCACAAACAAAGAGGGAATCATTATTGATTTTCAGCTACCATTCCATCATCCAACTCACCTCTCTGCTCAGGTTACATTTGGTCTTGGACTGTGTCACACCTCTGCATCTGCTGCTGCTATGTATAGAGTGTGCTCTCAGAGCTACAACAACAGATACAGAGAGGAGAATACTGTCTTTGGTAGTTCAACAAGTGTCGCATATGGTTGGATTTCGAAACAGACTGAGCTGCTTTTAATAAATGAGCGTTTGGTAGGGAGCTGCAGCAAATACTAATGGCGGCCAGCAACTGCCAGGGGTCTGGACATGGTGAGACAGGAGACAGGTTGAGGGTCAACATCAACGGCAGTATTTTCAGCGTGGACAGAACTGTCATGGCAGACAACTGTGAGTACTTCAGAGCGTTGTTTCAGTCTGGAATGAGAGAATGCCAGCAGGAGGAGTTACAGCTGCGAAGCGTTGGCATTCAGGGGTTCCTGGTGCTGCTGCGGGTGCTGCAGGGGGAGCGGCCCATGCTCAACAGTGACCAGATTGTGGAATCTATTGAGTGCACGGCTTTTCTCCAGGTACCAGCTCTCACCAAACACATGATGAACATCGTCAGCTCTGAAAACTGTTTGCTTATGTATCACACAGCTGCTGTCTATGGGGTGTGGGAGTTGTCCCATCACTCAGCCTTATTCATCAGGGACATGTATGCTGATCTAAAGGAGGACGTACACATCTTACCCAGCCAGATGGTGGAGTATGTGGAGTCTTTTTCCCCGAGCAGCTACATGGCCGTATGCAGCCACTCTCCATCCTCAAAGCTGCTGCATGATGTCCAGAGAACGGTTTGCTATCTGGACGAGGAACACAGGAAGTGGAGGACCCTCACTCAGCTGCCACTGAGCACCAGCACCACCATGGCAGGGGTGGCTGTCCTTGACAACAAACTGTACATCATTGGAGGAGTGCATGATGTCAGTAAGAGGGTTGTGGAGGCCGGGTTCTGCTACAACCCTGCAGAGGACACTTGGTCCACAGTCTGTGGTCCCCAGCAGCTACGCTATAGCTTCACACTGATTGGTCATGAGGGATGTCTCTATGCCTTAGGGGGGAAGTTCAACATGAAGGATCTGTCATCAGTGGAGAGACTTCGGACATCTGAGGGGAGCTGGGGCTTCGTCTCGGCCCTGCCCTGTCAGGCAGCGTCCGTGGTGTCGGCTGTAGCCATGAACAGGATCTTCATCTGTCTCTGGAGAGGAAAGGGGGCCACGGATGTCCACGAGTACGTCCCAGAGGATGACCGCTGGCTTTTGGTCACAACGCTCATCCGCCAGCAGAGCTATGGACTTTACATGGTGGGCCACAGGGATAATCTGTACATGATGCGGAATGGACCAGGTGAAGACTTCTTGCTTTGCGTGATGGACTGCTACAACCTGACCTCAGGTCAGTGGACGGCCGTGTCTGGTCACTATAGCAACAGCAAAGGCTCTCTGTTTACTGCTGTGGTCAGGGGCGATTCAGTGTTCACCCTTAGTAGACATGTTACCACTGAGTACTCGGTGGAGAACACGCAGTGGAGGCGAAAGCATGAGATGGAAGGTTTTGGTCGGGTTGGATCCATCTACACATTCCAGATGAGGCTCCCTAAACACACCGTCTCTCTCGGGGATAGATGTTCGGATCAAATTTCAGAAGGAAGCTTTAGAGACAAACATATTGTTCCCACCCTGCCTTTACAGTGCTCCTATAACTTCTGAAGGGAAATTTTGAAGTTGGCTTTTGTGGAGCAAAAACAAGTTTTGAAGAATGTTTCATATTGAACATTTTAGCTTTGTGAAAAACCATTTCTGATCTATGTGAAGATCATCATTCCACAGAGAGGAAAGTTGTTCATGAGTGGAAAACAACCCAGATTTCAGACTCCAAGGAATCCCAGTAAATTCCACCATCAGTCAACATTAAGAGAAACAAAAACAAGAAATCTATTTCAGACTGCAGGTATTAGATAATATATCAGATTATATGAATGTTCATAGCTGAACAATGAGAAAAAGACTGAACTAATGTGGCAGATGATCATGAAATTTTGTGTGTTGGGTACTTTCTCCTTCCACAGCTTAAAATGTGTTGCGTTGAGTTCAGTTTTATGTCATGTTATAATGTTATTCTCTCATTAAAAACATGCTTTGAGTGTTGCTTTGATTCCTTCATGCATGTTTGAGAAATCCTTGAATCTCCCATGGCAACCAGTAGGGTGCCTAAACTCCGGCCTCTCAGAGAAGTCCTCACTTTTGTGTCTGTTAAACTAAAGTAGCAACCTTTATTTAGTATAAATACATGATTTAGTATATAAGCATTAAAAAAAAATAAAGAAAGAAGTCATTACATTCAATCAGAAGATGCTGTTTTTATAGTGGAACATGTAACAGTAAAGATGAAACCATTTAGAGCAACTGGGAATTTACTCTCTCTGACCACACCATCCACCACAGACAGCATTGATCAAAAAGAAAGTTCACCCTGCTTCAATGTTTGGATTTTCCATATCAGAGCGTATGACAGATATCCTGTATTTATGAGGTTCGAAAATGATTCTGATTTCATGTGGAACAGGTTCTGCACTGTTATTTAATCCATAAAGACGAAGTAAAAATGGAAAAGTTGATCCTGGGTGCTTTCTTGATGCTGTGCTTCTGGGAGTTCAGGAGCAAATGTGTGTGTTCCAGCAATTCCAAGCAGAAAAGACAACAGCAATGGTTCAGTGCTCAAAGAAATGACAAAACACTGTTGGCCTACATCCTGCAGACAGCATGGAGAGCAACTGATCAGAGCAAACCAAAGAGAAAAAGACTGACCAAATATTTAAGCAGCTTTCTTTTTGCACCCCTTCATTGCTGTGATGATAATAATTCATCTATAATAATCATTTTAAAGGCTGGTATAAACTATTTCACTTATATGTTCTGACTCGACTCTTGAGCTGATGGAGTTAGTATTTTCTGTTTACTGTGACTGTAGGTGTGGAAAGTCATTAATGACCAGGGATGGATTTAAAAGAATGTGGGCCCTGGGGTGCAACCAGCTATGGTGCCCTATCCACTAAGTAAGAAAGATTTTGCTAATGCAAATAACTAATCCTATATACATCAGGTATGAACTGATGCTTGCTCGTTTAAATACATCCCATAGCCAATAACTCCTTGGTCATTGCTTATAGTCTAAAAATCTTAAAATAATACTTCTCACATGATTTGTCTATGACTTTTATATAAAGTGAAATGCTGCAAAAGACCCATTCATTAAATAAAAAAAGAAAAACATGAAGAAGAAAAAAAACTCTTTAGGGACCACCCACAAATGGTTACTGCCCATGTAAGCTGTCTAAAGAGTGGCCCCATCAAGTAGGCTTCATTTATAAGGTATATTTTGTTGTGTAGCTGTCCTAAAACTCACTATGACACATGCAGAGTTTAACTGGAGCGCTTTAGTACAAAAAAAGACAGAGAAAATTATGAATAAAGCATTGCTGAACACAACCAAAACCCATTGCCTAAAACCCTCTCTAGAGTTTGAACCGAGCTGCATGTAACCCTGCCGTCACGCTACACGCATCATCAGTTCCTCAAGCGCCCGCTCTCTGTGATTCTCATGGACAAGCAGCACTTCTTTGACGGTGTGTGACTGGAAGCCCATCTCATTGAACTGCGTCAGGAGGTGGAGGAACTCTTCTGCCTAAACAGGAAGAAGTTGAAATGAGTGGAGTGTTGAAATGAGTGAAGTCGTTTGTACGCTGCTGCTCACCTTTGTTTCACAGTTCTGAAACATCTCCAGGGCTTCTTCCACCTGAGCCATGTCATAGCCCAGCTGACACAGGTGCTCACACGCAACCAGGTAACTCAGGATCTGCAGACAGAAACACATTCAAACATATTAACATGATTGGTGAGCTTTTTCATTTCTCACAAAAAGTGTGAAATAATTGCCATTTGAGAGTAAATCCTAAAAATACATTTTGTTTTGAGCTTGAGTTGGGGAATTGAAATACAAAAATAAAATAAAATTTGAGAGTAGATATGAAACAAAAGTACACAATAGTATTAATTGACTTGGTATCGATATCGTGGATATTTTAGCCTGAGATGAGGCGGATCAGTCGGACCTCTGCCTGCCAGTTTCAGGCTGCCTGCTGACTTTCTGACCTCCACGTTGGTGAAACTCCACCAGAAAAAGTTAAATGAATAGTTTTTGTTTTGTTTCTCATAGAGAAAAAAGGAGTTAAAGATGAGAGGTGAGAAATGTATATGAAATAATAAACATGTTTCAATTAAACTTTATTTATGAAACAGCTTTATGGTACAAGTTTCCATGTCTCCCATAAGTTCCTGTCCTGTTGTCCCAGTATGTCCCAGGATGTCCCTGTAGTTCCTGCAGTTTCACTGTCTCTCCACTCAGAGCAAAGGGCTTTTCATGCCATGGGAAAACACATAATGCACCACAAGCTGTGGAAGTCTTGTCTCTATTTTTAAACTGGCTTAAAGTGGCTTAGTATACAGTACTTCTGTTTCACCTCCCACAACCTCATATCCACTACTGCTTTGTGCTCTTCTATTTTCTATTTCCAGATTTGAAAGGACTTACAGAAATCCTGAACACTTACTGATCAAGACCACTTTAAAGATTACCTGATCTCTGGCTGATTTGGTTCTAGATATAGAGTCAGGACTTTTAAAAGGTTCTGTATGAACAAACATCATGAGTTGGTGATGTGTCCAATACATTCTGATATCTTCTCCTATTTCAGCCATAGTGGTTGATTCCTTACCTGATAAGATCATCTCTGGAGAACATGACACTAACCTGATCTGGGGTCTGTTGTCCTGCCCTCTGCAGGGCAATGATGGCAGTGCGGAGGGGGTATCCCCGGGCAGTGATGACCCTGAGCAGCTCTCTCTCCTCTGGGCTCAGAGCTGAGAGGAGCTCCACAGACGAGTCCAGAGCAGAGCTCAGGCTCCCGCATGACGAGGCTATAGGGTGAGCTCTGCAGCAGTTTGGTTTGAGACGCATCTGGAAGACACAGCACACAGCAATCAGTTAATAAAACATGGCTTTGACAGCTCATCTTCTCCATAACGCTGACTGCAGGCCAGAGTGTCACACTGCGGTGGAAGGAGACAAGTCACACACTGTAATCCTGATCAACCTGTCTACTCCCAGGCTTTACCAAGTCTATTTATGCACCATGGAAGCATTATAAAAATAAAAATAGATGATGAGAACTGATTTAATCTTTAAATGACTAAATATTAAGTGATGGCATCCAAGCAGAATTTTTCCAGCATTTCAAGCTGTGAAGAAAACAGAATTCTTTGGGATTGAATTTAAATTGCAGCTCTAAAAAAATTCAAAGGGTCATCTGATGAAGATATTCAGAGTACCTCTGTTAACGGAATAGATTTCTGCTAAACTTTAAAAGCCCACAGACCTGTTAGGATGAGTCTCAGCTGCTCATTTGACAGAAACAAGTGAAACAGTTAATGTTTTGCAAATCTGTTGTGTAGAGGAGAAAAACCTCACTGACAGATTCTCTCCATGTTGAACTGTTCTGATTTGTTCTCAGAGAACTGAATATGTATTTAAAACAGAAGCCAAATGACTTTGTTGATGTTAGCGCTCAGAGAGCAGAAGATAGTTTAATTGTGTTCATACAACAGGCTGTGGAATCAAAAGGTGATTTACTTCTACCAGAGTAAATGGAACAGAGTTTAAAGTCATGACTTCACCTGTCAGTACTTTTCATTTGGGTTTCTGTTTTATGGTGGAAACAGCACTCCCTTTTGTTAGTCAGTTATGACAAGGGCAGAGGGTACAGGGGTCATGTTGCCATTCTGAGAGACACAGGCAAGAATATTATCACATTGGTAAAGCATCATAACTGTCTTTCCTCTTTTATTATTCCTGGTATGGGTGGTTCTACATAGGGGCAACAGGGGCCAGTGTCCCTGTAGGACTGGCCATGTACAAAAAGGAGTGGACAATTTTTACCTTCATAGCTTTACTTTATTGATGAATTACACTTTTAACCTCAGCTGTATTGAGACAGGATCAGAGATTTTATGTGATGCACCAGGGGTCTCCAACCTGTAGCTGCAGACATGCAAGTGGCTCACTTGATATATTAAGATATAAAATATTGCCTATTCTTTATTTTTTTGTTTCATTCTTTTGTTCTGTGCTCTCATGAAAAAGCACTGACCCTTGTACCCTGGCCTGCCTGGTAAATTTGGTCATTGGGTCACTATGTACTGATGTCAATCAGGATCCTAATGAATTGCATGTTGTACATTTGTGGATTTAGTAACAGTGCAATGGATTAATACAGACTTTTAGCAGCCACTGGTTTGATGCTAAACCAGTAAAAAGTAAAAAGCTGTTGTTCACAAGATGCTGTACCCACGGTTCTGAATCCATGATCGTTGATCAGTGCATATTTTGTTTCATGCAGATTAAACAATTATCAAACACTCCTGGACGTAATTAAACACAAAGCAGAGAGAAGCTATATGAAGACAGGACATATGAACAGAACGGAGTCACATTTGAATTGGACCAAGTTAGACTATGGCTAAGTTGGTAAATATGAAAGTGTCTCTAGAATCTAGTGGTGCAATGTCTGGTTTTAAGTTTATTTGAAGTCTTTGCAAAGCATATTGTGAGACTTTTAGCTTTCCCTATATGCATTAATCTCTCTACTGTTACTGAAAATTATTGAAAAAGTTACCCATGTCATCAACCATTTCTGCATTGACTTGGTGCAGTGTGCTTTATGTTTATGTTCTCATATTATGCCAAACAAGCATTAAAAATCCTCATTTGGATGAGAGTGGTAAAGAGCTCTGAGACTGACTTTTAGCTGAATTAGTGGTGATGATGGACAATGTTTGAGTACATAGCAAATCATAATGTAAAGAATACAACTCACTGCTACGTTTATGTCATAATTCACACACATACTAACGATTGTCTCAGCTGAAAGAAAAAGATGGATAGAAATACTTTTTCCCACAGATTATCAAGTTATTAAGATGTAATACGAAGAGTATGTTTTACCATATCTGCTGCTTTATGGTTGTCAGTGGATTTGTCAGTGGTATAGATCCTGGTGTTGGGAGCTTTGTATGAGAATGAGCTCTGAGGCTGACTGTCTATGTTGGACTCTTGTTTTTTGGACATGTCCGTCCCAGAGACAGAACACTGCCGGAGGTTCTTCCTGCGCTTGTGGGGGAGGCTGCTCAGGCAGGATGGAGGATTCAGCAGGTCTGGGATGAAGGCTCTCTGTGCTTTTCTTTGCTTCATGTTCTGACATGAAGCAGCTGGGTGCTCTTCCTTCAAACAAGCTTTAGCTGTCAGGGGTTTCTTGGCTTGCTGCACAGTATTTCCTCCTTCATCCTCTGAGTCTGAGATGGTGAAGGTGGTGCGAAGCACAGCAAGGTTGAGGCTGAGGGAGCGTTGTCGAGGGTTTGGTTCCCAAAAGTCAGAACTGTGGCGGCTGGCCAGACGACTCTGCTGTGGGCTGCTGAACATCATCCAGTACGGAGGACAAGATGGTAAAAGTTCGGATGGAGAGGTGAATGGCTGAGGCCGCTGATGGTGGGTGGGACCGTTCTGCAAGCCAGTTAACACCCAGTTCTCCAAGCTGAACTCGTACTGTAATATCAGGAAACAATATGCAACCTTTTACTACCTGTTTTATTGCAGCTAAGAACTTTTCAAATTAATTGACTTTTTGTTAACCCCATTCAGGGAAATTATGTGGCTTTTGTCTTTATTGTCATTGTTTGGCAAAAATTGTATCCATTCTTAGAGTAAAATGTACTGAAATTTGGTTCACATTCTGATGGCATGAGGTATGTCATGTAATCTAATTTTACATCACAGGCTAAATCAAAGTCTGTTCTCTAGCATGACCAGAGCTGCATGAAACACTGAACAAACAAATGAAACAGATCAAGACACAGAGTAAAGAAAGCATCCGTACCGCTGTTTCCTGTAATATGCTGAGGTAATCAGGTATTGTCACTTTGACATCATCTTTGACTTCTTGTAAGATGACAGCCTGGGGCATCCTTAGTGGAAGACCTTCCATCCTACTCAGTTCACTAAGACACACACATACATACACACGCACACACACACAAACACAGTGTAAAGAGTACACCCATCTTATAAACACAGTTGAATGGCATTGTTTTAAACCTAAATCTTCAAAACACTTTCAACAGTTTGTCTGTGGATTATTAATTTCATACGTTGCAGGGACTATTTTCCTAACACATATTACATAAAGGGTAAATTCAGTTTTTTGGGTTAAGGTTAGGACTAAAGTGTGAAATTAAGCATGTACTGGTAATGATCAGTGTCAGGATCAGGATTATTCTATAGAAACTAATGGATGCCAATTTCTGCAAAGATAGAGAAACAAACGTGTACGTGCTAATGCACGCGCCCGTATGTGTGTGTGTGTGTGGTGTGTGTGTGGTGTGTGTGTGTGTGTGTGTGTGTGTGTGTGTGTGTGTGTGTGTGTGTGTGTGTGGGTGGTGTGTGTGTGTGTGTGGGTGCGTGTGTGTGTGTGTTATATAGGATGGGGGTGGGATTTGCTTCGCCATATGCAGATATTTTGTAAACAGGCAGCTTGTGTTGTGAACCTTAAAGCCGGGAGGATTCTGATGAGTCCAATCTGTTCCTGACCAAGCAAACATGTCCTCTCTAACTTCACTCTACCATGGAAATAGACAGCTTGAGCAAATATTAAAGTCCATGAAAGAGGTGTTTAGAAGTTATCTTTCAGTTCAGCATAGATGTTCAGGTTAACAGATGGTAACCAGATGGTAAAAAAAAAAAAAAAAAAAAAAAAAAGTGTAGTTGTTTACTAGATGCCAGAGTATGGAGGAAAGCTGAGCTCTAAATCAGTTTTCCCTCCCAGGATCCCTGACTGACTTCACTCATACATTCCTTTACTGGTTTGGTGAAGAGTGAATAAAAGCCATGTGCTTTCCTAGATACTATGCAAGTTTGCAACATTGTGTTAGTGACATCATATAAACATTTCGCACCTAAGTATTTATGTGCAGTGACGTCAGAGCAGATGCTCAGCTTCTGCTCCTTCTGTCCACTGAAAGTTAATCAGACATGATTAACTGTAGTGAGAATAAAACCCAGTGCAGATGGTGCAGGACTTCCATCACCAGAGGACACGTGTTTCTTGAGCTTATTGTATTGTCTTTGACATGCATATTCTGGTGCTAATAAAGAAGCTCATGTAAAGTTAATCCAGAACAAGATTTTCTTTAAAGGTCTGTATAAAACATTACATGATACTAATCACTTTTACACAGCACTACACTGTAACACCAGATGTTATCATCTTGAAGATTTTTTTCAAGTAGGTTTTAATGAAATGTTAGTTCTTCCAGCAGGCATTATGCAAAGCTTGATAAATCCTCACCACTATTTTTCACAACAAAGTGCTTTTCTATGGAATCTTATAAATATCAGAGCAAAGAAACAAATACAGGAGCAGCATCTTGTTATAACAAGAAACGTTCTTGTTTTAATGAGACTTAAATCTCTGTGCCTTTTTAAGAAGTCATAATTATTTAGAGGGATATATTATCACATGTCATTACAAAAATATATCCTGACAAAATATATATGGCAGTGATACACTTCTGTACTTTTCTACAGTAATTCCACTGAGGGTCCTTGGAGGAACATTTCAGTTGGCCTCAGCATTGAACTTAGAAAAATCACAATAATATTTTCCAGATTCAGCAGCCAGTTAATGGGAGAACTTATTTATCAACCTCTGCACTGTCAGCCAGTCGCACACAGTCAGCAAAAGTAATCAAAGACTTTGAGATTCAGGAGTTTTATAACATTATTTTTTAAATTCTTGTTCCTGTGAGCTTTTATTCTGAAGCAAGCAAAGAAAATAGATGTAAAAGATGATTATACATCGAAAACTATGAAACACAGGAATTTCATAGTAACAATAATCCTTGAAAATAATCAGTTACGCATAATCCGAAACCAGCATGAAGAGGGAACCTACCTGTCAGTTTATCTGTGCCTCAGTGAAACGCTGTGTGAAGCTGGAGTGAAGCCTTCCTCTGCAGGTTCTGTCAGAAGCAGCTGAACCTCTAATCCATTAACCTCAGTTAACCCCATTAGCTGGCACATGGTGCGTATCAAACAGCATCCCGCGTTTGATAACATTTTGCCACACTGCTAACGTTGTGGCACTCTCAGAGCTCACACTATAAGGCTTAGTTCATTTTATTAATTAGCGTTTAGGTGATTAGGTAACAAGAATCAAGTTTCTGTAACTTTCTGACTTCATGTTACATGGTAAACTCTTTAAAACTTTCTTTAAAAGATTTGAAAACACATTGAGCTTAGAGCACCACTTTTACTTCCATACAAGTTTACATTTTTGTTAACACAGTCACTTCAAACAGATGAAACTCATCTGCCTGGCAGAAATATCTCACTGCCAGGCAGTAGTGCTGAGTTCCAATACACTTTTATAATAGAATGATGCCCCCTTCTGGTAGAAAGTGGTACCTGCTTTAGTCCAACAGCGTGTCGGTCTTCATTGTAACGTTATGCTTTGTTCTGTTTTCTCTACAGATTTCTGTCTTATGGGAATTGCTGAATTGGTGGGTTTGTAGGTTTCTTTACCCTGATGAATCTATTAAGTCACAAATTTTAACAACGGTTGAGATCTTAACCAGTTCAATCCATCCAAAACCTGTCTGCATGTTTCAGATCATTATTTTATTGAAAGACCCAACTGTGTCTAAATATAAACCTCAAGTTGATTCAAGATGACGTTGAAGAAGTTTTGGGTGACAAACTACTAGATACACTCAATAATAACTGCCATCAATGTGATCCTACAAGCTCCAGAATCATATTAAAAGATTTCAGTTATAATTCTGAAATTAATTACTAAAAACTAAATCTTTTACATAACCATATGTTACCTCTACCAGAAAAAGAGGGTGAGGAGGATGGCTTGTTTCCAGTCAGGTCTGCAGGCTAATGTTCAAAACCAGACACTGTTCATCACTCTTTCTAATCCAGCCACTTTAAGCACCTGAGTTCAATTTTTTTATTTTTAATTTGCAAAAACTTAACATTTAGAGTTTACTTCCACTTAGGCATCACTCAAACAGGCAAATGATTTGTTTTCATTTCGATTTATTTTCAAATGCATAGTCTGGGAAAAAGGAAAAAGAACATAGTTGTATTGAAACATCCCTCCAAAGCCACCAGCGTGTCCCAAAGCACAGCTGAGTGAACAGAGAACATGGAATTGGCAGACATTTCACGTCACATGTCCCCCCTCCACAAAAATATCAAACTACATGTCCAAAATACACATTTTGGTGTATAAAAAACAAATCCATCCAAAGGATGATTAAATTAGAATCAAGGTAATGAAAATACCATCTTTAAAGAGACGTGTTCACTATAAAGCAAGTTCATTGTCTGATCCAGCTGACTGGATGTGCGTCAGAGGCCGTCAGCTTCAGCAGCCTGTAGGGCCGAGGCCCAGTTCTGGTCGGACGGGGAGTCGGGCAGGACCCAGCCCTGAGGAACCCCAGATCCATCAGGATGATCTGCTGCCACCAGGAACACGTCCCAGTCCCTTCTGAAACATCAACACACCTTATCAAGACCTTCTCTCAACACAGAGCTCACAACTTCTGCTGATGGAGAAATAAAAATAAAAAAAAAACAGTGTTGCTACGACTAGATGGTGTTTAGTCACCTTGATATCAAAAAAGTCAAACCAACCACTAAATTTGTTCTACATCTAAAGTTAGAGGCTGAAGAGCAGAGCAGGCCCAAAGCAAGGCTCCTCAAGAGTCTGCTTGGGCCCCCAACACACACCAAGAAAACTTTTTCTCTACTATCCGTATCTACTTTATAGTCTGCTCCCACAATTAGTAAAATACAAAACTTATTAACTTATTAACTGTAAAGTTTATCAGTTGATGTTACTTTCAAATAAATAGTAGTATCCTTAAATAACTACACATTTAAAATTCTTTTTTTTTTCTTGGTTTGCTACTCTTGTAAGGTTAAAAGCCATAATAACACTGGACATACAGAGTGGCGTAGGAATGATAAAGCATCTGGTGTTGATACCAAATGCAGGGGGCCCCAGATGAAAATCTTCCTTGGGCCCTGAAAAGGCTTTGGCTGGCCCTGGTGCAGACCAACCTGATGTGCATGAGCGCCTGCAGGGAGTGCTCTGCCTGGCTGTAGTAGTCGGTGAAGGGCTGCAGGATGCCGTCAGTGGGAGGCTCATCTGCAAGACCAACACAGACATGAGGAGGAGGAGGAGGAGGAGGATGAAGATCCAGAACCGACCTGGAGGAATCTGACAGCCTGGCTGGAAAAGCTGCTACCTCCAAACAACATGGAGTCCACCCTACGCTTCCTCTCCAGCTGCCGCTCCCTCTCCTTCCTGACTCGCCTCTCCTGCTCCCTCCTCCGTTCCTCCTGCTGCTCTCCTTCCAGCATCACCATCAGAGCCTTCTCCTCGGCCGAGTACAGCTCTGTTCTCCTCTTCGTCACGCCCCTCAGCTGCTCCAGCTGACCGCTGAACGCCTCATCACACTGCAGCTCCGTGCCGATCCCTTTAAAACAACATAGCTTGCAGAGTTATTGCTGCGCTGACGGGTCTGTAATCAGCTCATTAAAACACCAGCAATTATGCTGAGTCAGCCTTTAAGCCACTTGATCCAGAATACCATCATCAAAGAACATTTTTGGAAATGTTTTTATTTTTTGCTTCAGCGCCAAAAAGAGTCTGCTGATCTGGAGGAACAAACCATCTCTGACTTTATTTTTTTTTTACTTTGTTAAAATTCTGAACAATATAATAAGGCATACTTCATAACATCAAAGGAAAATTTAATATAACTGAACAGAAAAGTAAATAAAGTACGATTCAAACACAACTTGGTATGAAAAGTAGAAATCATCACAACTTTCAGTTGTTAAAGCGAATTATTGCTATATGATACTAATGACTGGCATTTTGTGTTGTTTCAACAATTTAGTGCTTCCTTAAATCAAATAATATCTCTTAAAAAGGAACTGCTGGAACTGTTCTTTATTTTATAAGACAACATAAAACAACATAAAAGTGTAGCCCAAATATTAACTTGTCATAATTGCAGTCTAAACTTTTGATCTGGTAGAAGTTTGTCTTCTAGCAGTCACCAAGAATCAAAGTGGAAGAAGTAAAGATTCTTATTTAAGACACAGCTTCCAAAAAAACATTTCAGAGCTGGAAGTGGTATTATGTTAAAGTTTATGGATCACTCTGAAATGGAGATCTTTTTGCAGAAGAGTAACTAAGGTAACAACCAAATCAAAACTATCTAAATGTTATTTATGATTCTATCTTTACAACCATAAATATAGAGCCAGAGATATGGATGTGTGAACTTGAAAATGTTTATGTGAATTAGCTTTTGTACATTTTTATAACTATCTGAGGTTGATGGAACCAATCATTGGATCAGAACCGAACAGACTTAAACCTCCACAGATTTCATTACATCACTTCACATAAAGTTTCCATGTAAAATGACAGCTGACCTGAATTATCTCTTTCATCATTTGATCAGATAAATATGAGAACTAATCTGTGTAAATACGCTGAGATAAAAGTTCCATTTTAGGGAGTAAAAACCATTAAAAACTTTGATAAATTTGGAGCAGAACATTGAGAACAATTTGACTTTTTTCCTATTCTGGATGTTTCTCTTGTCTATAATATGACTAACTCCTGGATACTTCACTTCTTTCTAACTGAGACATGAAAAGAGAGTCCGGGGACTGATGGTGAACACTCGTCCCTCTCCAGATCTCAGATTTGTGCCGTCTCTTAAAAACTGCCTTTATCATCTGCTGGTGTGAGTTTCCATCACATTTTAACGGTTCAACAACTGAATTATTTCTGTGGAAAATGGCTTAAACTTCTGTCCCAATAATAAACAGCAGAACAGCATTAACCCGACCTTTTCTGGACGCCGCCTCCTTCCTGAGTCGGCGCAGCTTCTCCAGAGATCTCATTATGTCCTGCATCCTCTTCACATCGGCCTGCTTCCTCCTCACCTCACACAGGACGGCGTCTGCAGACAGCTTCAGCTCCTGCTCCTGAGAACCAAAGGCATTCAGCAAAACTCTCCTCTTCACCCTTCTCTACATAAATACAATATTACCTTCTTCTTTTCTTCTACTTTTTGTATCTGTCTCATCCTCCATTTGTCTATGGAGGCCTCTTTCTCAGTGCCGCGTTCTTCTGCCAGCACCTGCTCCACCTGCCGGTCCTTCTTGGCCCTCAGGCGCCGGGCCCTTCTCTTCGCTATGCGGTCCACTTTAACTTTAAGTAGATCTAAACTCGGGGAGTCAGTGAGTTTCTGAACTTTGGCCTGAACTTCTCTCTTAACGTGCAAAGCCATCTGATAAGACTCAGACCACCCGCTGACTGAGTGCAGATTGTGCTGGAGAGAGAGACAGAGCTCCTTCAGCCGGGACAGCAGCCGAGCTGTGTCGTACAGAGCCTCTTTGAAGACGGGGACAGAGCCGAGGTCTGACCGCTGCTCCTGCGGGTTGTCGGGAGGTCCACCTCGGTTCTGGAGGAACCGGGTTAACCACTGCCGGTCCTGCCTCCTCTGCAGCTTCTCCTCATCCTCTGGGTGTGCTGCAGTTTCCCAGCTGCTGTCCCGTTGCAGAGGATGAGGCTGGCGGGGGCCCGATGAGCCCCGGTAGGGGGGGCCTCCATCGCGGTAGTCCTCCCGCTGCCTGAGTCCGCAGTCTATCCGGAAAGGAGCGGCACCGAGCTGCTGGGACGCAGCCTGAAACGTAGGGACTCCAGGGCTACGGAGCGTGTTTCCAGGGGCGGGAGGCGCCATTCCCGGGAAGTGTCCCGGTGGAGGACAGACAAAATTAGGCGGGGGGACAGACGGGTCGAATCCATAAGAAAGGGGAAACCGAGATGTTCCGAAACCTGCTCCCCCAGGAGGAGGTGCGGGGAAGTTAGCGGTAGGAGGAATCCATGGTGAAGCGGTGTGGTTC